TTTCTTACCATTCATTTAACCAACTCCTCGTCCCGTCTTGTTTTTCTCTTTTAATATTTCCCTTATGGATCAAAAAATATATGTATTAATAAAAAGAAAATTTCCATGGAACGAGCACAAATAAAATTCTGATTCTAAGGGGGGCACGTACCCACCCTGAACGATACATACATCCGCCACTGCCAACACATACACAATTCCCAAGAGCTTTTTTAGTCCTCATTATAAATTGATCCTCTAACTTTTAAATACTTCATTTTCATCCTCAAACTTTGACTCCTGTTCTAAATCGGCCCCTAAACTTTTGAGCATTTCAACTTCATCCCTAAACTATGACTCTCATCCTATATTAGTCCCCAAACTTTGAGTGTTCCAAATTTATACCCAAACTTTTGAATCGTTTTGTGGATATTATTAGAATACTCAAAAGATCAAGGATCAATTTAGAATAAAAATTGCAACATGAGGATAAAATTAAAATATTTAAAAATTTAAGAGTAATTTAAAGACGTATATACAATTAACTCAAATCATAAAGAAAATTCATTCTAATTAGTTCTTCTCAATTATTTTGTATACCTATGATGTGTATATCTAGGGGTTTCACCCAAATAAATGTCACAAAATTTGCAAGTACCTAAGAAGAAATAGGGTTTGAAACATTAGATTTGAGCATAATTTAAGATAAGTTTGAATCAAACATAAGCAAACGGGAAGACAAGTAAAACCTTTGATTTTTAGTTCATCAAACATGACACATTACGTACATTGCAATGATAATATAAGCACATTTCTTACGCAACACTTCCTCCCAAGTATCTTTTAATGTCAATTTACCTAATTCAACATTTAATAACAACCACGAACCAAACGATCTCTGTGGTAAAAGAATTGTTGTTATTACTTGAAATCTCGGGTTCGATCACCAAGAATTCTAAGAGCGTGAGTGTTCAATTTCAAATGATTGAGAGTTATCTTTGAATAAATACTACATTCTACTTACCCAGATTAATAAAAAAAAAATTAATAACAACCGGTTCTAGTATTCCCATCCCACCACACAAGTTGTTAAGAAAAAAACAATAGTTAGGCTCCATCAAAATCACTATTGAGGGTGAATTACAATAATCTCGGGTTCGATCACCAAGAATTCTAAGAGCGTGAGTGTCAATTTCAAATGATTGAGAGTTATCTTTGAATAATACTACATTCTACTTACCCAGATTAATAAAAAAAAATTAATAACACCGGTTCTAGTATTCCCATCCCACCACACAAGTTGTTAGGAAAAAAACAATAGTTAGGCTCCATCAAAATCACTATTGAGGGTGAATTACAATAAGATTTTCCTAAACTATAACATATATTTTAAATTAATCTTCAAACTTCAAACCATCCTAATTAAATCCTCAAAATATAGGTCTTTTTGTCAATTTAGCCATTAGTCATTACCTTGCACATTAAATATTAGCTTGAATCTGGTGATAGAGCAACCTTATAAAATTTAATGATGGTGTTTTTTTTAACTGTTAAATTTAAATTATTCGTGCAATAAATATACATGTATTTTAAATATGTTTTAGATTTGATTCAGACAATAACATTTAACTCTTCAAATGATGTTACGTTAGAAGAATAAAATGATTGATACGATACTATTAGTCTAATAAATTTTATTTAAAATTTTAAATATTAATTTAAAATTTTGAGTAATAAATTTGTAACCCCTAAATTCGGTCTAGATGTTACGACCGAATTTAGGCGGTCACATATCGTATTTAGAATATAAAAACATGTTCATGACAAAATACTGATAATACAGATATATAAAGACAATATTAAAAACTCGTGTTACTAAAATATAACAGAAAAGACATAGATAAATATACAATTGGTACAAAAAGGAGAAGAGTCTATCCTCATGCCAAATCTACTAGCCTACTGTCTGATAATATCTAAAAGTCAAATTAAAGAATGAGCTAAAAATTCCAGTATGCTCATTGCAGTGTATAAAAACATTCAGATAAATATTTTGACAAAAATTAATTTATAAAACATGCTTTTAAAACATGAACACTACCCCATCCAAACACCATAATGTGTAGGTTTCCCTGAACCATACACTCACCTATACACCCGGTAAGGACTTTATACTTACAGCATAAGGACCTGCAGTAAAGACTTACCCTGTGCACAAACAGAGGAGCCTGATGTAAGGTCTTATAAGTCATAGACTAAGCCTAAGATACTTCCTCTAATAATACCCCAATACCAATAAATATGCATTATTGTAGTTTAATTCATTAAAACATGAAAATATTCCATGGAAGACACATAAGCAAATCAAATATCAAGCCAATACATAGGAAAATCAAATATCATGAAATTAAAATATTTAATATCATCATAATTCCAAAACAGTTCAAATAGATAATTAAAAATAATACTTTAACACCATTAGGAAGACACATGTACTAGTCTGAGATAGTAGGGTGGCCTATTGTTGGGTCTGCCTATCACAACCAACGATAATGTTAGATTCTACGAATCGGAAGAACTGTATCAAAACCCCCATATAATAAATAATAAATTGTACATAAACAATTTTCTGAAAGCTATGTGTAGCACTTGAAGTACGTGGACCGTACGAATCTACTGGACGGGAAGTGTCGAATCTAGTCGGCCCTTGATTAGGAGAAATACGAGTATCTTCTTAAAAATATTTTTCCAAATCAATTTGATGATCAAAACCCAAATAATCATGTAAAATGCCAAAAATACTAAGCATTTTAGATTTACGGGCTTATTTTGGGGCTTTCTGGTCAAAATTTGACAAAACACACTGTAAAATTGGACACAAGACATCGAAAAATGTCAAGAAAAAGGTTTTCGAAAAAAGTCAACACTGGTCAACGGTCAACAACAACAACAATCAACGGTCAACGGATCGACTGGACTGATTTGGTCAAGTTCAATTAGACCAATTTGATATGGTTCGTTCAGGTTCGATTGGGCTGATCTGATTCGGGTCGATTTGTGCCTAAGGGTTAGTGGTACAATGGCACCAAGACGGATCACTAGTGGTCTGACTCGTGTACCCTAGTGGTGCGCTAGGTGGAGTGATCCAGTGCGATCTGTCTGGCACTATATGTGCATTTTATGATATGGCACCATAGATGGGTCACTCGTGATTTGACTCGGCATATCTTAGTAGTGCACGAGGTGGAGTGACTTGGTACAATCTGTTTTGACAGTTTTGACTGCATATGGAGCCCTCACTTGTTATATGACTCACGTACCTTTTGTTTCTCATGATAATACAGTAGGCAAATGTCTGATATGAATAAGAAAAGTATGGATTTGAAATGATCTGATTTCGGAAAAAAAAAGTACAATTTTGCAATGATATGAATCGAAATAGAAAAGCACAGATCTAAAATGGTACAATACGGTCTGAATGACATATTTCTATAATAAATTCTTGTTACGAGCTAACATCTGATTTTATACATATTTTATTTTATTAATGTTTTTATATTATAATGTTTTTGTAAAAAAAATAAAATTATTTTAAGGAGTTTTGAGACACTTATCAAGCTCGGTTCACAATGGTGAACGGCGGAGAGATCGATTTCGAAACGTTAGAAAATCGTTCTTCCTCACCTCTCCACACGTCGATGGCAACAGTGACAAAATGAACACTGATGAACTCAGGACAACGCAAGGATCGTGATGATATGGAAAGTGTCGAAAGCGGAGCTTCAATTAGAGGCAAAACAGAGTTTAAAGTTTCTTGAATCAAAGTTGCAAAAAAAATGTATGAGAGATAGAGAGAGATACAGAGAGAGATTTGGACTTTCTAGAAATGGAAAGTTTAGTTTGGAAAGCTTTTAAACCTAACATATTTGGAGAATGATAAAATTGTGCCATAGGTCCTCTATTTTATGCTATTTTCTGAATTTGATCCAAATTTAATTAAAAAATCACTTTAGTCCTTGAATTTAATTTAAATTTCAATTTAATCCCCAAAATAAATTTTTTTAAAAAATTACCCTTAAATTATGGTGTGAAAAATTGGGGATGTACGTTGGCATTAACCCTATTATTAAAAAAGAATCTGTTATGCATTACCAAGTTAATTACGAAAATATTTATTTTAATGTATTTATATATTTATTAATTTGGTTTTGATAAAAATAGACGTAAAAAATAATACATAAGGAACTAAAATTATAATTATTTATTTTAAACTTATTTTAATATTATGATATATATTAAATTGAATAAATTAATATTTTATATTTTATTATTTTTTATTTTGATAAAAAAATTATGTGAAAATTGAAAATTATGTTAAATCATATCAAAATAGGTCATAGTCTAATTTCTAATTAAATTTTGGATTAATTTTAGAGGAAATAAAAGATTTTTAAACCTTTATAAAGGTGTTAATCTTTATAGTTTTCACTTTTCTAAAGAAAATGTCTGTATTTTTTTTAAAGAGATATCAACTTTAGAGTTAAATTGAATATAATTCTTTTTTGAGAATACATTTTCTTGACTTTATTCATTTCATATATAAAGTTGGTTAACAAAACTTATAAAATTATTGAAATTTATAGGCAAGAGTGATTTAATTAGGTTGCTTTTGGAGAAAATTATACCAGGTGATTTCACATGTTAATTAGTATCTCCTTCTTTCAAATTAAAAAAGGTCTTAGCATCACTTTCATGGTTTGGCCTACAAGATGTGATAATAAAGATGGAGACCCTTGTGAAACAAGCTAAGCAATTGAAGAAAACTCATTGCATGTTTAATACACCAGTGGGTGCAACAACTCCTACGGCAGGGTTGAATTGAACCCATGCTTTGTTTTGCATGCAAATTGCTGAATCAAAAATACCTAACCCCCTCCAACCTCGAACCAACTCTCCTCATTAGTCTCCCCTATATAACACACACATTCTCTAACTTCTGCCATTGAAACAAAAGGCAGAAGCTTTATATCTATGGAGACTTCTAAAAATCACTGCTTTTCCATCGTCTTCCTTATCGTTTGTTCTGCAGTATTGTCCCTAGCACATCCACAAGTTCAAAGCCATAAATTTGTCGTATGTGTTGTTTTATTATTGTTTTTGTTGTTTCTATTTCTTGTGAAAGAAAAAATGACAGTTTATTATGAGTGAAACAGATTCAAGAAACACCGGTGAAGAGGCTGTGCAGGACTCAGAACAGCATCACTGTGAATGGCATGTTGCCTGGACCTACTCTGGAGGTTAGGAATGGTGACACCCTCGAAGTCCTAGTTGTCAACAAAGCCCGATACAATGCCACCATTCACTGGTATTTAACTACTACATTCTTGCATGCATGCATGGATCATGGATGCATTTTGAATTATCATAACCACTTCCGTTTTGTATACAGGCATGGTATTCGGCAAATGAGGACCGGATGGGCCGACGGACCGGAATTCGTAACTCAGTGTCCGATCAGACCAGGAGGGAGTTACACCTACAGGTTCACTATTCAAGGACAAGAAGGAACGTTGTGGTGGCATGCTCATAGCTCATGGCTTAGGGCCACTGTTTATGGAGCTCTCATAATCCTTCCCGCACAAGGCCAACCTTACCCTTTCCCTAAGCCTATGAGGGAAACCGCAATCGTGCTCGGTGAATGGTGGAATGCGGACCCCATCGATGTTGTGAGGGAAGCAACGAGGACGGGGGCGACTCCGAATGTCTCGGATGCGTATACCATCAATGGTCAACCTGGTGATCTCTACAATTGCTCCTCCCAAGATACTACGATAGTTCCTATCGACATCGGCGAAACAAACCTCCTCAGAGTGATCAATGCCGCCCTGAACCAACCCCTTTTCTTCACCGTTGCCAACCATAAACTCACGGTTGTCGGTGCTGATGCCTCCTACACTAAGCCCTTCACCACTTCGGTCATCATGTTAGGCCCCGGCCAAACCACCGATGTTCTGATCAAAGGTGACCAGCTACCAGCTCGATACTATATGGCTGCTCGAGCATACCACAGCGCACAAAACGCAGCCTTTGACAACACTACCACCACTGCCATTCTTGAATACAAATCAGCACCTTGCCCTGCCAAAAAAGGCATCAATGCACCCAAACCAATCATGCCTTCTCTACCTGCCTACAATGACACCAACACCGTCACAACGTTCAGTCAAAGTTTTCGGAGTCTCCGAAAAGCCGAAGTCCCGACCGATATCGACGAGAATCTCTTCTTCACAGTTGGTCTCGGACTCAACAGCTGCCCACCAAATTTCCCTTCGAGTCGTTGTCAAGGACCTAATGGTACTCGTTTCACTGCCAGCATGAACAATGTCTCATTCGTGTTCCCACAAACGTTCTCTCTGTTGCAAGCATACCAACAAGGCATTCCAGGAGTATTCACCACAGATTTCCCCGGAACCCCACCGTTGCAATTTGATTACACCGGAAACGTAAGCCAATCGCTATACCAACCGGTTCCAGGAACCAAGCTCTACAAACTTAAGTATGGGTCAAGTGTACAAATTGTGTTACAAGACACAAGCATCGTCACACCCGAGAACCACCCCATTCATCTCCACGGATATGATTTCTACATCATCGCGGAAGGCTTCGGAAACTTTGATCCCAAAACCGATACTTCGAAATTCAATCTCGTCGATCCACCACTCCGGAACACTGCTGCAGTGCCGGTGAATGGATGGGCAGTCATTAGATTCGTTGCTGATAATCCAGGTGTGTGGATAATGCACTGTCACTTGGATGTTCATATCACATGGGGCTTAGCCATGGCTTTCCTTGTGGAGAACGGAGTCGGCGAACTACAGACACTCCAAGCACCGCCGCCGGATTTGCCTATATGCTAGAGGATTCATCACCAGAGAAACATAACAATAATCGAAACTCTGAGTCCAATAATTTACTTGTAATCATTTATTTTCATTGTCATTTTCTTAGCAGAACAAAAATCATTGTTATTTTTCTAGAGAATGGGAACTAGTTCTAGTCATCATACTTCATTGCTCTGCAGGGACGGTGGGTTCCTGGTTAAAATTTATATATTCGATATAATTTTGGTTTAATAGTATTTTAGTTAATGTATAAATAAATATTTAAATTTTAAAAATATAAAAAATTAGTAAATATTTAATCAAGTAGGGGTCAAACAAAAGAATAATAAGACTATGTTCTCAAATTTTTGGTCCAATTACAATTTAAGCAATTGTAAGTTTAAATATTAGACTAATTAGAAGTTGTCTTTTTAGTTTTGAGTTTTGAGTTTTTTTTTTTTTAATTTAGGGTGAATATATAATATTTGTACTGTTGCGGAAGACGGCTATCGGATAGAGCAAAATCGCAACTGATAATTTGAGAAAATAAAAATGAAGATAAAAGAGACACAAAATTTACGTGGAAAACCCCTAAAAAAAAATAGGGTAAAAACCACGGGCAACGGTAGAATAATTTCACTATGAGAAAATAGGAATTACAACCTCTCTCGATCTACCAAGGAGAAAACAATGATAATTCTCTCTAGATAAAAAGGAGAAAACAACTCTCAAGAAACTCTCTAAATTCTCTCTAGTATTGGAAGAAAGCTAGAATGCTTTGGGATGGTTTTGAAGCTAAATGAGCTAGGGTATTTATAGTTGAAACTTAAGGACTAATCTTATAAATACCCTAAAGTTTAGTGACTAAAGTTTATAATTTACCCATTTAATTTTCAAACATTATTTCACCTAATTTTGACATTGTTGCACCTAATTTTGACATTGCAATATTAGGTGCCTAACTTGAACCAATTTTCCAAGCTTTGACATTTCAACAATATCCCACTTGAAGATTTGATTGGAACAATCATATCTTCACACCATTCTTTCTACCTTGTACCATCATGTTGCTTACGTCTCTGACAGGCCACAAGAGGATCGACACCAGGTAAATTTATCAGCGTTGATCGCCTTCGTCATGAAATCTGCTATGTTGTCTTTGGTATGGATCTTCTGTATATCTACCGTTCCTTCTTCCACCTTTTCACGAATGAAATGGTACTGAACTCGTATGTGCTTAGTCCTTGAATGAAATGCTGAATTCCTTGCTAGATGCAAGGCGCTTTGACTGTCACAAAACAGAGAGACATACTCTTGATTGTGCCCAAGCTCCTCCAATAGCATCTTCAACCAAATTACTTCTTTACTGGCTTATGTAGCTGCTACATATTCTGCCTCTGTTGTGGATGTAGCCACAACTGACTGCAATTTTGAAACCTAGCTTACAGCTCCACCAGCAACTTTGAACACATATCCTGTAGTAGATTTGCTTTTATCCAAATCCCCTGCATAGTCAGAATCTACATACCCATTGATTAGTAAGTTTGATCTTCCATAACATAATGCAACATTTGAGGTCTCTTTGATGTATCTCAGGATCCTCTTTACTGTATTCCAATGCTCTTTGCCTGGATTCGCCATGTACCGACTAACCACTCCCACTGCTTGTGCAATGTCTGGTCTTGTGCATATCATAGCGAACATCAAACTTCCCACTGTTGATGCATACGGTACTCGAGACATCTCCATCCTCTCTTCTTCACTGCTAGGACTCATACTGGAGGATAATTTGAAGTTAATAGGAAGAGGGGTAGAAATTGGCTTACAATCTTGCATGTTGAATCGTGACAAGATCTTCTTCAAGTAATTCTTTTTTGAAAGCCAAATCTTCCTATTACTTCTGTCTCGGTGAATTTGCATCCCTAGAATCTTGTTTGCTGATCCCAAGTCCTTCATTTCAAATTCCCTAGCCAGTTGTGCCTTCAATTCTTCAATATGATCTTTGTTGGGTCCTGCAACCAACATGTCATCCACATACAACAGCAAAATAACAAAATCGTTATCACCAGACCTCTTGAAATAAGCACAAGGGTCTGCATTAAGTCTGTTGTATCCAAGGCACATAATGAAAGAATCAAATCTCTTATACCAACACCTCGGCGCCTACTTTAGACCGTACATAGATTTGTTCAACCTGCAAACCAAGTTCTTCTTTTCTTTTTCTTCAAAACCTCAAGCTGGAGCATATAAATTTCTTCTTCAAGATTTCCATGAAGAAAAGTTGTTTTAACATCTAGCTGCTCTAGATGTAAGTTCAATGTAGCACACATTGCCAAAACTACACGAACTGTTGTCAGTCGAACCACAAGAGAAAATATTTCATTGAAATCAATACCTTCTTTTTGAGCATATCCTTTGACCACCAGTCTTGCACGATACCTTTCAACTTGATCGTCACCATTTCGCTTGATTTTGAAAACCCATTTGTTACCAATTGGCTTCCTTCCTTGTGGTAGTGGCACAAGGTCCCATGTATTATTTTTATGAAGGGCTTCGATTTCTTCTTGCATCGCCATCATCCACAGTGAAGCATCTGAGCTGTTTATTGCCTCCTGGTATGTTGATGGCTCACCGTCCTCTGTTAAAAGGCAGTATGCAATATTACCTTCTATAACATAATTTGAGTGCCAATTGGGACGTCTTCTCACACGATCTGATTGACGAGTTGTTGGAGTTTTATAACTCTCTGGTTCTTGTTCATCATGTGTTGGTTATGCTTCAGAATAATCTCCTTGTTCAACCTCCTTTTCCACATGTATCTACGTAGTCTCTGACTTTTCAGCGCTATCATCATCTTCTTTTCTTTGTAGTTTATCTTCTACAAAGATAACATCTCTGCTGATTATCACTTTGTGGGCAGTGGGATCCCACAAGCGATACCCCTTTACACCATCAGCATACCCCAAGAATTTGCATTTCCTGGATTTTGGATTCAACTTTGAAATTTCTTGGGCGTTGTACATCACGTACACAATACTTCCAAATATATGGAGGTTTGAATAATCAACTGGTTTACCAGTCCACATCTCCATTGGTGTCTTCAGCTCTATTGCAGTTGATGGAGCTCGATTCACCAAATAACAGGCGGTATTGACTGCTTCTGCCCAGAATGATTTTCCTAGGCCTGCGTCCCTCAACATTGCTCTTGTTCTTTGTAACAAGGTTCTGTTCATCTGCTCTGCCACTCCATTTTGTTGAGGAGTGTTTGCCACTGTGAATTGTCTTTTGATGCCTTTTTTCCTGCAAAAGTCATCAAATTCTTCGCTTGTGTATTCTCCTCCATTATCTGTTCTGAAACACTTGATCTTATTTCCAGAATCAAGTTCCACCCGCGCTTTGAAGTTTTTGAAAGTTGAAAACACGTCTGACTTCTTCTTAATAGGGTGCACCCAACATCTCCTGGAGTACTCATCAATAAATGAGACAAAGTATTTTGCTCCACCTAGGGACGTTACTGGTGCTTGCCATACGTCAGAGTAAACCAATTCTAGAACACTTTTGCCTCTAGAATTTGATGTGTTGAATTTCAACCGGTGCTGCTTACTTGTTATGCAATGCTCACACAAAGAAAGTGATACCTTTGTTAAGCCTGGAAGTAGCTTTTGCTCCACAAGGACTTTCATTCCTTGTTATGACATGTGTCCAAGTTTCTAATGCCATAGCATTGCCGAATCTGAACTATATGAGGCAACAGAGGCTTCTGCTTCTAGTAAAGTCTCTCCCTTCAGTATGTACAAGTTTGCTGCTATCTTTTCGCCTTTTAGCACCACAAGCGCTCCACGGAACACCTTCATGATTCCTTTCCGTGTTTCAATCTTGCTAGCATTATTATCCAATAATCCGTAGGATAATAAATTTTTCTTCAGACCTTTCACGTGCCGCACATCTCGAACAACTTTAATTATTCCATCATACATCTTCAATTTGATGGTTCCCACGCCAACGATCTGTAAGGCATGATCATTGCAACTATACACAGATCCTCCTGAGACAGGTTCATAATGATGGAACCATTCTCTTCTTGAGGTCATGTGATATGTTGCTCCCGAATCAATGAGCCATATATCTGCAAATCGTTTTCTTCCTTCCACGGTGGTTGACGCTTCACAGCATAGAGCATCTCCATCATCTGAAGTGTTTGCGGTATTGCCTTGTGGATTGGAGTTTTTATTTAGACTCCAATAATCCTTCTTCAAGTGACCCTTCTTTCCACATTTGTAACACTTTAAATTCTTCTTGCTTCTCGACTTCGATCTACCATGTTTGTGACTGCTGCTTTGGCCACGTTCTGTTGATCTCCCTCTCATCGTTGTCATTGTTGTCAACGCTTCTGCTTGTTGCAGATTTACTTGTCTATCTTCCTTGTTCTTGTGCCGATTTTCTTCTTGTAGAACAGCAGCTGCAACGTCATCGAAGACTAGACTGGTGACATTACTGTTTGTCAAGTTGATGATGAGTTGATCATATGAATCCGGTAGACTTTGAAGTAGAAGTTCAGCACGTTCTTGTTCTCCTATTTTACAGCTTAAGGATGTAAGCTGAGAAAAATAAAGTGTTCAGTGTATTTAAGTGCTCCGTCACTGAAGTAGATTCTGGCATACGGAGAGTGTACAATTTTCTCTTAAGGAAAATTTTATTGTGCAGCGATGTGCCTCGTACAGTTTGGTGAGATGATCCCATATCTCCTTAGCTGTCTTCTTCTCCTCGATACTTGACAATACTTCATCTGCTAATGCTAGATGAAAGTTTGCCATAGCATTTCCGTCCATTTCGATCCATTTGTTGTCGTCTGTGAAATCTACTGGCCTTTCGCTGATAGCTGCTAGACAACCGTCTTTCCTCAGGATGGCCTTCATCTTCAATTTCCACAATGAGAAATTTCTCCCATTGAACTTTTCAATATCAAATTTTGTTGCCATTGCTCCGTTTACGGATAGCTCCCACTATTTCACTATCGTGAATAGTTCTCTGGAACATTCAAAGAATGGGTAATAACTTCTTACTTTCTTATGTTGGAGGGTCCACCTTTTGGTGGCAACCACAAAGACAATAAGCAGATATTACACACTCTAATCTAGCTCTGATACCAATTGTTGCGGAAGACGGCTATCGTATAGAGCAAAATTGCAACTGATAATTTGAGAAAATAAAATTGAAGATAAAAGAGACACAAAATTTATGTGGAAAACCCCTAAAAAAATAGGGTAAAAACCACGGGCAACGGTAGAAGAATTTCACTATGAGAAAATAGGAATTACAACCTCTCTCTCAATCTACCAAGGAGAAAACAATGATAATTCTCTCTAGATAAAAAGGAGAAAACAACTCTCAAGAAACTCTCTAAATTCTCTCTAGTATTGGAAGAAAGCTAGAATGCTTTGGGATGGTTTTGAAGCTAAATGAGCTAGGGTATTTATAGTTGAAACTTAAGGACTAATCTTATAAATACCCTAAAGTTTAGTAACTAAAGTTTATAATTTACCCATTTAATTTTCAAACATTATTGCACCTAATTTTGACATTGTTGCACCTAATTTTGACATTGCAATATTAGGTGCCTAACTTGAACCAATTTTCCAAGCTTTGACATTTCAACATGTACAAAGACTTTCAACTATTTAACAATGAACGCCAATCCCTTAATTACTAAGGTCGTTTGGTTCATGTTGAATTTCGATTTTAAATACTTAAAAAAATCTTTATATTTTTTTAAATAGTTTAATATTCAACCCCTGTTTTCATTATTTCATTGGAAATCGATAGCCTAGAAACATCTCGAGTTCTTGATCAGAAGCGAGGTGCAGGGGTTTCTTTCACGCTTTATGATCGGATTGCTGCTCTATTGGAGAGAGATTGTATCGAGGAAATTCGTCATATAGGAAGAGATGCGAACCAGGCAGTTGATAAGCTGGCGAAGATGGTTGACGTTGGTGGTGTTGAAGCACATGAGTTTCACGACCCCCCTGCATGTATTCTGCCGATTCTTCAGTTGGACTCCTCTGGGGTCGATGCAGCTGCTGTTTGATGTTTTTTAACCCCTTTGTTAAAAAAATTCAAGGATTAGTCAATTTGGGTATAACAACTTTGCATTAAAATTAAGGATAAAATATACATATGGTCTCTCGATTATATGATATTGTTTTATTAAGTTCCTTAACTATTAAAAATTATAAAATAATCTTCTAACTATGGAATGTTACTTTATTTAGTCCATCAACTGTTAAAAGTTACAAAAATAATTACTAAACTATTCATTATGTTTCAGACTCGTCATTTTCTGTTAAAAAATTGGTGATTGTTTAAGCTGGACGTTAACATGATGACTGAGATATGATAGTCATTTGAGATTCTGGGGGTCAGATTTTATCATATCACAGTCAGTAGGTTAACGTTTATCTAAGAATACCTTCAATTTTTTAACAGAAAATGGTGAGTTTGGAACATAATGAATAATCAAGTGATCATTTTGTAACTTTTAATAGTCAAGGGACTCAACAAAGCAACACTCTATAGTCAAAGGACTATTTTGTAACTTTTAATAGTCGATAGACTTAATAAAGCAACACCCTATAATCAGGGGACCATTTGTACATATAACCCTAAAATTCAATACAATGTATTTATCGACTCTCACTTGATTTAACAGAACGAGACGTTAAATCTTTTAAACAAAATCAATAATTTAAATCTTGATGAAGAGTGTCACCCAATAATAAATTTTTTATAATATCTTATTCGAATCAATCAACTAATAAATCAGGTATTAATAATTAAACCAAATAAAAAAGAGTTTTAAATTACTCAGTTTACAAGAGAGAGACTAGTTTGCTCAAAAACCAATAGTATAAACAAAATGAACAGTTTCTTTATATTTACATATCAAGTTAAATAATCAAATCAAACTTCAACATGATTTTAGGCATGTTTATTGAATAAATCAAATACAAAAAAAACTTTTTCCATTTATTTATGCTCATAAACAATATCAATAGTTTAAATATTAAATAAGAAGATAGTTTTTATAATAATTTTTTGTAATATCCGATCTAAATTAATTAATTAATAAATCGAATACTAATAATTAAATCAAATAAAAGAAGGTTTTAAATTGCTCATTTTTACGAGAGAGACTAGTTTGCTCAAAATCCAATAGTTTAGGGCCCTACCATCTAATTTATCCAAAGATAAAATATAATGTATCTCCTACTAAACAAGAAATTTAACTACACCGGTGGGATCCCCGTTGGCTTGCACCACCTTGATGTTGTTGTAACACTAGCCCCAAGTTCCGGATACTGTGTCCAACCCAACATTGCTTGTAGTTCCGGTATGGTATGTCGTTTTCCCACAACGACAAGGTCATAGGTATTTGATAAAGACCAAAATGCTTTCATCACATCCTCAATGTCATGTGCAACCACCTCAAGACAAGTGACACGACCATTGTCGACGTTCATAGCCTTGAAGTCTCCAAAAAGGGTGTTGTCCCCCTCTCTGTCTATTTGAGCCTCCAACCTATTTTGTTTGCTATCATGATAATCTTCAACACCGTGATTCTAACGTTTGGCTGTCGTGAAGCGAGAGTCGCCAAAGGCAATGCCTCGTGGTCATCGATCCCGCCGATGAAGATCACGGCCATGTTGTAAGATAAGGTAGTTAAACTAATAGGGCTTCTTAGCCCTCAGTCGACCAGTAGCCCCACCGTGCACTTCGTAACAGCTTGGATGTTGGTATTGAAAATCCGCAAGCCACCGTCGGTGTCGTGTCCTTGTTGGGCATTGAAAAACGGCACTATAATAAGAGGCGCATGTATCGTCTCGCTCAGCCGGTAAATGGGTTGATGCATGTACTTATAGGGCGACATCATTCGAAAGGGCTGAATTTGGACCAGACCCTGCGAATGATCGGCATAGTTGAGGAAAGCTCGAACGATGTTATTGGAGCCACTCGGCTGGTTGAACTTCCTCAATTGGTTCTTGTAAGGAGCTAAGGTCGGAACAATATGGCTAGGGACGGCGATAAGGTGGATGACATAGGCGCAGATGGGAGTGACACGTTCTGGGTGCATCGCTGCGAGAAGGCTAATGATGCTGGGGACATTGTCTTCCTCTTGAATGCATGTAATGACTCGTAATTCTCCGACGATGGAAGTCACCCCAGGGACCTATTGGTTAGTCTAACGGCGGCGGGCAAATCTAAATTTTCCAGCATGGGCTTGTATATAAGCTCTAGCATGGGGGTTATAATGGCATTTAGAGCAAAGACGCCGATCACACTTGAGGAAAAAGTATGATCATCTATGAGCTGTACAACACCAGACTGATTGATTGATACGAAATTTTGAGATTTAGAAATCAATTTAAACTATAAAAAGAAAATATGACCTGTAGATGTTTCCATCGAAGGAATTGAACTACTACAACAATACCCTTTAAACTCAAAATAAGGCCAAGGAAGATGGCATCAGTTGTTCCTATGTTCATTGAGGAGGAAACCAAGAGACATGTAACCATCCTTCGTAAGCACCGCACAATAGTGATTACTTACTGTTAGAATCAATCCATAAATAAATATAAAATTAATATGATCTAATCATGTTAAATCATCAAGAATAAAATATTAAACGCGGAAGCATACATGAATTAATTAATAGGTTGAAATATTTGAATCTTTCTTTGGTTGTGATCTTCCAAGAAGATAAAATTCTCTTAAGTATAAACTCTCTTATGGGATAAGAGTAAATACGAGAGTGTCTATTTCTTGCGGACCATAACTCTTTTATATAGCTGATTTAAGAATTAATTATTGTGTATACTTATAACTCTAACTCTCATCAAGTTATAAATACAACTTTAATAGTATCTATAATTTTATTTTCATGATACTTTTACTACTCTATGACTTATAAAATAATTGATCACTTAATTTATGTCATATTTTATGATAACAATATACATTATAAATATGTGCCCATAATTATAAAACCAAAGGTAGTGTGATTGAGGGGGTTGGGGTTGGAGCTGGCCCTGCTGTTAATTGATGTTGGTTTGCTTTTGGAATGTAAGAGGGATTAATAACCCTCTTAAGCAACATAAGGTTCTGAGCAGATTAATTAACCTGGGAGCTGATGTTGTGTGTCTTTTAGAAACTAGAATTAGAAGAATCAATGCTGATAAGTTCTATTCTGCTTTTTTTGATGAATGGAATATGATAGATAACTATGCTTATTCTGAGGGTGGTAGAATATGGGTTATGTGGAGGAAACAATGGTCATTCTCTACCTTGAGGGCTAATGACCAGTCTTTAACTATTGTTGGAGTTGTTAATGGCCACAGGACTTTGATCACTGTTGTTTATGGCAGTAACAGCAGGGTTGCCAGGAGAGGGCTTTGGGATCATCTAAAGGATTTGGATAGTGAGGTTGGTTCCTCTCCATGGGTGGTTGGAGGGGATTTTAATGTTACCCTTCGAGCTGATGAGAGCTCTGATTTTGAGATTCTGGGTGTTCATAATTCCCCTGATATGGAGGATTTTCAAGGTTGTTTGGAGGACCTGGACCTCTTGTATCACCCATTCTTAGGCCCTTCTTTCACCTGGTCTAATAGGCAGGATGATGGTTTCTTAGCTCGTAAACAGGACAGAATTTTGGTCAACCATCCTTGGCTGTCTGTTTACCCTGATTCGTTTGTAGAATTTAAGGCACACGGTGTTTCTGATCATTGCCCTGGTGTGATTTGGACTCAGAGGGGTGCCTTGGCTAGAAGGCCTAAACCTTTCAAATTTTTCAACTGCTGATCCTCAAATGCTGATTTTTTGGGTATTGTCAAAGAGTCTTGGACAGTGCAGTGTGATGGGAACCCTATGCAAAGGCTATTCCTAAAACTGAAAAGACTAAAGCCCAAATTGAAGAATCTCAACAAGGAGCAGTTTTCTGATTTTTCAAACAGGGTACTTAGTAAAAGGGCTAACTTGGAAAGAATTCAATTGATCAACCTAAGTCATACTGATCATAGGAACATTGAGGAGGAGAGGAGGATCCATGCTGAATTGGTTGATTTGGAGGTTGCAGAATTTGAATTCTATAGACAGAGGGCTAAGGTGCATTGGTTGAAAGAAGGTGACCTCAACACTAAGTTTTTTCATCAAAGAGTTGAATCAAATAAAAAGAAAAATACTATCAAGGTTTTAGTAACTCAAAATGGACAGTTCCTGGACTCTTTTGATGACATGGATGATGAGTTGGTGAGTTTCTTCACTAATCTCATTGGTACTGCAGATCCAATGGTTAAAAGCCCCCCTATGGAGTGTCTGAAGGAGTTGCTTAACTTCTCTTTGCCTGATGGTGCTGAAGCTATGCTTACTAAGGAGGTGGAGGACAAGGAAATTAAGGAAGCCTTATTCAGACAATGCAATGGTAAAAGCCCGGGCCTTGATGGGTACTCTTCTTGGTTTTTCAAGGCTGCCTGGGATGTGGTGGGTTGTGACTTCTTAGCTGCAATAAGGTTCTTCTTTCTTTCCTCTTCCTTACTGCCTGCATTTAATGCAACAACTATAGTCTTAGTCCCTAAGGCCCTGAATGCTTGTATGGCCAAGGAGTTCAGGCCCATTTCTTGTTGCACTGTAGTGTACAAAACCATCACTAGAATCATCACTACTAGATTGTCTCTTATTTTTCCTTGTATGATCTCTCCTAGTCAGACTACTTTTGTAAAGGGTAGGAACATTGTTGATAATACCTTACTAGCTCAGGAAATAGTCAAAGGTTATTCTAGGAAGAGTCTTTCTCCTAGATGTGCCATTAAGATTGACTTGCAAAAGGCATTTGACTCTGTGGATTGAAATTTTCTAATGGTTGTGCTTGAGGCTATTGGTTTGCCTTTGAGATTCTGTTGTTGGATAAGGGCTTGTGTTACTTCATCTCAATTTTCAGTTTCCTTGAATGGTAGTCTTGTGGGCTTCTTTAAGGGGGCTAGGGGGTTAGGCAGGGAGACCCACTATCCCCTTATCTCTTTGTCATGGTTATGAATGTTCTCTCTTATTTGTTGGATGCTTCTGTAAAAAAGGGAATTTTTAGATATCACCCTAAATGTAAGAGGGTTTCTCTTACACATCTGTTTTTTGTTGATGATCTTTTGGTGTTCTACCATGGCTCTTTGGACTCTGTGTTGGGGGTTTTAAGTACTCTAGAGGCTTTCTATGATCTATCTGGTCTTAGGCTTAATGCCCAGAAAACTGAGCTCTTTGCTTGTGGCTTAACTGACCCTGTTCTCCAGCTAATTCAATCTGGTAATGGATTTAAAGTTGGGATGCTTCCTGTTAAGTATCTTGGGGTACCTCTAGTCACTAGAAAGCTTTCTTGTAAGGACTGCTCTGCTCTATTGACTAAGATTAAAGAGAAACTTGGCAAATGGTCTGATAGGAAACTGAGCTATGGGGGCAGGCTTCAGCTCATCAAATCTGTCCTATTTAGTGTCTTTAGCTACTGGAGTAGGTAGCTCATTTTGCCTAAAAGGGTCATAAGAGATGTGGAAAGATTGTGCATGAGATTCTTTTGGAAAGGCAGTGATTCCTCAGCTAGAGGTGCCCGGGTCAGCTAGAACCAGATTTGCTCCCTGAAATCTGAGGGAGGCTTGGGGTTGAGAAGTCTGACTGACTGGAGTAAAGCTTGTTGCCTCCTACTTATCAAAAAAATATTGGTAGGTGATGGTTCTCTCTGGATTGCTTGGTTATATGCCTACTGTTTCAGAACTGTTGATTTCTGGAATGTTGAATACAAGGCTCACTTTAGCTGGATCATAGCTAGGTTGCTTAAGATGAGGAATGAAGCTGCGAGTTTATTCTGCTCCAACAGTAATTGGGATCAAATCAAAGCCAGCTGGATATGGGATAGGATTCGAAGTAGGGGTGAAAAGGTTTGCTAGCATCGCCTTGTATGGTTCCCTGGCCATGTTCCAAAATTTTCTGTGACTACATGGATGGCAATCTTGGATAGATTGCCTACAAATGGCGGATTAGCTAGATTTGGTATAGCTTCAGATGGTGTTTGTGGTCTGTGTAGTTTTGGTCTGGAAACTCGTAATCATATATTCTCTGAGTGTACCTTTGCAAATGAAACTTGGTGTGCTATCTTGCTTCTGTGTGGCCTTAACCAGGCGTCTCTTGGATGGAATGATCTTCTGCAATGGTTGCTGCTGAATCTTAAAGGCAAATCCTTGCTGGTGCATATTCTCAAGTTGGCCTGGACTGGTTTTATCTACTGCATTTGGGAGGAGCGGAATCGTAGGCAGTTTCGAGGGGTGCATCGCTCGGTTGATACTGTTGTTAGTTGTGTTAAAGAATCTGTGAGAATTAAATTGTATAGGAGCCCCATGAATAGAATTGATAATGTAAATAGGCAATTGTGTATAGATTGGGGTCTGATATAGTGGCTTGTTTTGTTTGTAGCAGCTTGGCTGCATTCTTTTGGATAAATGCAATTCTACTTATCCAAAAAAAAATATGTGCCCATAATTATAGATTTTAATCCAACAACTATTCCAAACACCAAAAGCTCCCTCCAATCCTCTACGTTGTCAAATCCGTGAAATATCCGATCCGAACGAAGAACAACGGCATGAAAAACTCAAAGAGAATCGATTCGCATTTGCGTACGATCGTGTCACCGAGAGGCGGTCCGTCTGGTATTACCAATTCCATGATAATAGCTGCAGGAACGAAAGCCTATAGCATCAGTGAGGACTCCCATTGTAAATGTCACGAGTATTACTGCTACAACACATGATTCCTTCACTGCTTTCCCCTAAGGTGTACTCTTGATGATTCGACGTAATATCGGTCTTCTAACGAAGGTTGAGAACGCCGTCAACGAAATTAATCGAAAAGAATGCCTCGTTAAAAACCTTCTTAAACTTAGATTGATGAAAATAGTACATTCAACCAGTAGGCTAAAACGGAACCACAAGATACAACGAAGGATGACATTCAGACCAAAGTGCACCCAGGTAGAAGCCACATAACAGCAAACGAACACCTACCGATACCAACTATAGCAACTGCAATTACCCTTTGACACTGAAACATCCAAATTTAAGCAGACCTGCAGATGCGTAGGTCATCGAACCAAACAAATAAGGGGTCTGCTGGCCAACAAAACTCCTCAGAAGCACACTTGAAACACGAACAGCAACATCTATTCCCGCCAAGTAAAACAGAACCGACTGAAGTAATTCTTGCTTTGCTAATTGCTCCGCAACCCACCTCCCTCTCTTGGCACAATCACGAACAACACCAACATGGACATTTCTTAGTTGAAATTCAAAAGGTGAAGCCACGCCTGACAGAACACAACACTAAGGACATTTGCAACTGAACTAACTCCTTCAATAAAACAACGCTTTGAACATCCGAAAGAGTTGACACCAATGCCAAAATACAGATTGCAACGGCTAAACCCATCAAAACCTTTTCACCCACACGAACAAAGCAAAGTGAAATACCCCAAGAAATCATTCTAATCCACTAATACATAAAAGCAGACCCAAAGATTAATTCCAAGTAAACTTAGCAAACTCAACCGAAACCTAAACCAGCCACAAACCAGACCCAGAAAACCATAGTAATAAGACAGCGAACAAAAATGCAAATTCTGTAGAACCGATCTCCCCACATCCTTGCCAAAACACAACGCAAGTAAGAATTTCTTTATTGTCCCGCTAAAACAAATGAATCACCATGGCATTAAGTTTCCTTGAGAACCCTAGCCATTTCACTTTCACCAACACAAGGCTACTGCCAATGAAATATTCAAATGCTTGAAATTGCTCAAAAACTCATATCAAAACCAAGACCCCCATATGCTCCACAGTGCAGCAGAACACAAAGCTAATCAAGCACTTTGCAGTATGGAAGACTAACAAAAGGAGAGACAAAATTGAAACAGCTCCTCGGAAAAACAATTCGATCCACAAAGCAGTTTGTTTGGCAACACACTAGAACCATAAAAACATACAATTGAGATCTTCAAATATGGTTTGAGCCACTTTCCTTTGACATAGAAAAAATCTCTTAATGGAAATTGAGACATCCACCACGAAATTTTCTTTGTTCCAAACCCCCAGCAGAACCCACTGCGATTGAAACTCTGAAATCAAAGTTATCAACGACCCAGACCTTTCGTTTATCCTTCTCCTCAAACACTTCCTTTTACGAATCTTAAAGAGGCACCATCTCCGACACCCCCCCCGGTTAATAATCCATGACGAAATTCTCAAATCCTTCCTCAGCCTCCACGCTGCAAAAGTGTGTCTATTGTTCTCCTTTAAAAAGCCAACGACTCTTCATCCGAAACTTCCAACAAAGCTAACTCTCGCACCACTTCCTCTTCTGGGCCTAGAAATTGTATTCCCAAACATTTGCCTAATTCCAGCGTTTTTTTTTGCTTCCCTTAACAATATCGACCTTCTGGCTAGATTATCAGAGTCTGATATAGACCTTCTAATTCGGAAATTTCCTCCTCAATGCTTGAATCTTCTTCTTTCAACTTGCACGGGCCCGTTTCTTTCTTCCCCCATTATCACAAATATGCTGGTTATGACCTGATGGAGCATCGTGATGGACGACGACATTTGTCCCAATTCCGAACACAAGAGGTTGAGTTCATCCAGCGCATGAGTAAAGACCACGAAATAACTCACCGCCATAACCAGGCTGAATTGGAAAGTAAAGGCGTTGCCGCCTCTCATTCCGGGGAGGAAATTCTGTAGCCATAAAGTTACAGAAAGAGTGAATACACACTTGGAATGATGAAGTTACACAGACCCAGTTTCCATGTGTTCTTGTCTGCTTTGGTTAACATTGAGCCATCCGTTTTGATACATAAGATGAAGATGAATAAGTTAACCGCCATGTTCGACATAGTGCCCAGCACCGCCATTTCTTTCGGTGCAAACATTTTTTCCATTTATGTTTTGTCTTGTCCGAGAACCGAAGGTTCTAGGATAATTCCAGCCTGCAAAACAAAGCAATCCATCACGCCATGCTTATGTCAAGGATAAAGCAGATAAACATAATTAACATAAAAAGGAAAAAAAAAACTACAACTTACCAAGATATTAAAGACAAGCTTAGGCTGTCTTAATGGCCTTAGAACAAAGTAGAGGGTATGCGAGATGACGACAGACAAGACGAGTTGAAGTATGAAGGCAGGAACGACGTAGTCCAAAGGGTGGTTTTTCCAAAACATGAAATTGTAATGCAGGTTCTTGTTCAATAAAACACAAACTATTGGGGGCCTCACCAGCATTGCATTTGGATTTCTAGCTAAATCCATTTCTTGGGTGGAAACCGATGGCTTTCACGGTGGGGGCAATTCGAGGGTTTTCAGCTGCATCCAGTCCGATTTCCGACAGGTTTCACCTAGATATCCATCAAGACGAAGAAAGTAAAAAGATGGTTATCTTGTAATTCGTTGATTTACCTGGAGGTTTAAGCAGTTTCAATTATGTTACCCTGTAATGATTTCGCTTCGATTAGTTTCTCCTTTTTTTGTGTTTCTAAAAGCAAAAAACCAAAACACCAACTAATTAAGAAAATAATCAGTTGTGTCAAATAACACAATCCAACAAATATTCTATTCTTTTTACCTTTCTGTTGTATCATTTTAAAAGTAAAAAATGGATAGAGTATGAGTATTTATTATAAATAGAATATTTAATGGTTATAGTCAAAAGGCTAAATTCAAAAAGTCCTTGAACTTTATCACTTTACCACCAAAAGTCCTCATACCTTTTTTATACATCAATAAACCCTAATCTTTAAATTTGATTTCTTTCTTCCCCACTAAGCAATTTAACCCTAAAAGTATATTTGGTTTGGGTAATTAATTATCCTCCGATAATGTAACATACGAATAAATATTTGGGTAAAGTGCACATTTAGTACCTAAACTATCAGTTTTGGTCCGTTTTAATATATAAATTTTCAATATTTTCAAAACCATACCTAATGTTTAGTTTTCATTTTATTTTAGTACCCCACCGTCAAAGTATCTAAACTATCAATTTTGATCCGTTTTAATACCTAAACTTTCAATCTTTTCAAAACTTAACGTTAAATTTTGAACGGGGGTTCTAAAATGAAACAAAAATTAAATTTTTTTAACGGCATAGCACTAAAATAAAACAATAACTAAACTTCAAATATGATTTTGAAAAAATTAAAAATTTAGATATTAAAACGGACCAAAACTGATAGTTTAAGTACTAAACGTGTAATTTATCCTATTATTTTTTGACTAAATAAAATTATATTATTTGATTTAGTAACATTATTTGACTGTGATAATATAAGATTCTCAACATTTGACATTGTTTGAGAATACAGCAGGTAATCTCATTGTCTCTTAATTGTTAGATAATGTTACATCCCCATAAAAATTATCCGTTTTTAGATTATTTTATCCCTTAACTTTATAATTTTATCAACTTAATCTTTTAAATTAAATTAAATATTAAATAAGAATTTATATCACTAGTTAAACATATATCCCTACATAAAACATATTGGTAATACATTAAGTATTGTTATTAATTTAATAGTATAAGTAATTGTCTTTTCAAACATTAATATATTAATTTAATAGTAAATTAGATTAGGAGAGTCGCCCTTTCATATTGATCCTCGACACCATGATTGTAATGTTAGGATAGCGCGAAGCACGAGTTGCCAAAGCTAACGCCTCGCAGTCGTCGGCTCCTCCGAGGAAGATTACCGTCATGTTGTAAGAGAAGGACTTAGTCGAATTGACGGGGTTCCGGAACCCTCTATCGACTAGAAGACCGACCGTGCACTTTGCAAAGGCTTGGATGTTAGTGTTGAAAATCCGCAGGGTTCCATCCGCGCCATGAGCTTCTTCGGAATTGAAAAACGGCACTATAATAAGTGGTGTATGCATCTTTTCACCAAACCTGAAAATGGTTTCATGCATGTACTTATAGGGCGAAAACATTGTGAAGGGCTCGATTTGAACCTGACCCTGTGATTGCTCTGCGTAGTTGAGAAATGCTCGAATGATGTCATCAGAGCTGCTCGGATTGCTAAACTTCTTCAAGTGATTCTTGTAAGGGGCTAATGTGGGAACACTTTTGCTAGTGATGGCAAGCAGATGGATGATGTAGGCGCAGACGGGGCTACCTTTTCGGGGTTCATTGCTTCGACAAGGTTAATAATACTTGGGACGTTGTCTTCATCTTGGATGCAAGTAATGATAGGTAACTCTCCGAAGATCGAAATCATCCCGAGCGACCTACTGCGATGTCTCACGGTGGTAGACTAATCGAAATCTTGTACCACAGGCTTGTAGAACACCTTTATTATCGGGGTTATAATGGCATTCACCACAACGATTCCCACCACAGTTGACGCATATGTCTTGTCATCTATGAGCTTTTGTTGGTTCCAGCGAATGGCTTGAAACATTTGAACAATGCCCTGTAAACTTAAAATAAGGCTAAGCAAGACGGCTTTACGTTTCTTCATCTTCAAAGAGGAGGAAAACAAGAGACATGCTATTAGCCTCCCCAAGTACTCCACCACAACTAGTGCTCCAAAGATCACTAACTCCTTCTAATCTCGTATCGCCGAAAAATCGGTGTGATAACCAATTCAAAAGAAGAACAATGGAAGTAAGACATTGAAGACAATCAGTTCGTATTTCCGTACGATTGTCGTTCCTAGTGGTCCGTCCGGTACAGTGAATCCCATGATCATAAATGCAGTTCCATAGGACGCTCCTATAAAGTCGGTGATGAATCCCATGATGAATGTCATAAGTATTACGGCTATAACATAAGGTTCCTGCATAGGTTTCCCTTTCGGTGTCCTGTTGATAATCCGACGTAATATCGGTCGTATAAGAAAGACCGTAACCAGAATTAATGAACAAAGAGAAAGGGCAAAATAAATCGCATTTCTCGTTCCTTTCTGCTCCGTAGCAACTCCGATAATTATAAAGACGGCGGGACGAATTCATTGATCATGGTGAAGGATGAGAACAGTTGTCCTAACTCGGAACTTAAGAGATTGAGTTCGTCCAGGGCTTGAGTAACAACGATGAAGTAACTTATCGAATAAACGAAACAGAAATGGATCGGCAAGCCACTACCGGCACCTCTTCCGGGCATGAATTTTCCTACCCCGTTCGTTAATAACACAACGAATGCAAAAGGAAGAATTAGAGAAAAGAGGGCGAGTTTCCGAGTATGTCGGGCTGCTCTGGTTATCATTGCTACATCCATTTTGATACGTACGATGAAGACATACTAATATGCCGCCAGGGTTGACACGGTGTAAAACACCAGCATCTCTTTTGGTCCGAACATTTTATCTGTGTATATTTTGTTCCGTCCCAGAACCGAAGGCCCGAGGATCACTCCGGCCAGTAAAACAACGAAAGTAAGGATGAGAAATTAAGAATCTCCATGTCTGTGCATGTTAAGAACAAAATAGAAACCTACCAAGATACTGCAGACAATTTTAGATTGGTTTAACGATCTGAGAATAACATGGAGAGCCCGAGTGAGGACGACAGATAAGATTATTTGAAGCATTAAGGTGGAAAGGACGGTGTCTGAATGGTTTGGGTTGGGGAAGATGGCATTGTAGCTCTGGGTTTTATTCAAAATGAACACAAACTGCAGGGGGAGCGTCCATTGCATTTGCGTTCTGCGTGGTTTTCAGCAACAGTAGAGATTTCAAGACATGTTTCCAATGGACTTATGTTCGAGAAAAGAGACGAGAAAACATATAGGAAAACCCTGAATCTTAAGTAGGTGGTTTTTCAATAGCATGTTCCTCTTGTGTTGTTCATTTACCGACACACTTAAATTTGTTTGTATTTATATTTGTTTGAGTTTCTTTGTTAGATTTAATTTTTTTTGTATGGTCTTTATATGATCTTAAGTTGTTAATTTTATTTCAATGATTATAGAAAATTTTTCTAATTATGTGTTTAAGTTACGATTGTGATTATAAATCTTTATTATAATTTAGGATATTTCATATTTTGAATAAAATTAATTATTTCTATAAAAAATTATTATATATATATATATAATACACAAACCAAATTACCTTAAAGATTATTGTAATTTCTAACAATTTCAACTTTAATACTAAAAACATAAACGTTAGTCAAATTGTTGAAAGCAATGAAAAATATAATAGTGAGAGCTTCAAAACCCGTAAATCCGACTCATAATTGAGTATTAATTATTAGGGAAAGTAAAGGGAAATAATTAATTAAGAGAGAAAGTGGCAATGTCGTAGTTTGTATAAAATAATTGGATAATCTTACAATAACTAAGTCCAAAAGATGTGCAACTTGGCCATCCACTTGCAGTGTACAGCGTAGGTCGTTGCATTTGCATATGAAAAATGGAAAGCTATTCCAACTCTAGAGCGCAATTCTTGTTTTATATTTTCTAACCAAAACCCAAAATATTCATCACCTCCTTAGCTAACCCACAAAACAACATGCCTTCCTCCTTGCACCTCCACCGCTCCACCACCACCACCTTCAGCGGCGGCTGCCACCACAAACAACAAACACTCACGCGGTGTCTCCCTCTTCCTCACTGTGTCTTGCTGCCGGAAACGGTCCCTCCGTACCACGTCCACACCCTGAGACCGAACCAGTGTTGTTCCGCGGTGGTCCAAGCCATCGAAGCCCCCGTGGAGACAGTCTGGTCTTTCGTTCGTCGCTTTGATAACCCCCAAGCTTACAAACACTTCCTCAAGAGCTGCAACGTGATCGCCGGCGACGGAAACGTGGGTAGTCTTCGTGAAGTCCACGTGGTGTCCGGCCTCCCAGCAGGCTCAAGCACGGAGAGGCTGGAGATCCTTGACGATGAGCGTCACGTGCTTAGCTTTAGCGTGGTGGGAGGCGATCACCGGTTGAGAAACTACAGGTCGGTCACAACCTTACATGCTTCCCCGGATGGTAAAGGCACGGTTGCCGTCGAATCATTCGTCGTCGATGTACCGCCGGGTAATACTAGAGAGGATACGTGTAGTTTTGTTGATACAATTGTACGTTGCAACCTTCAATCTTTGGCTCAAATGACTGCAAATATGGCTAAAACACAGAACTCCTCATCCCCTTAATCATTCAATCTATTTCTCTTTAACTCTTTCGTTTTCGATGTGGGAATCCATAGATCAAATAGAGGCCTCGGTGAAGTTGAAGATTCTAGCTTTGACGATATCACCCCATTTTCTTTTTTTTTTCTCTTCCTTTCTCCCTGTAATTATGAATGTGTTTCACAAAAGTGTATCATCTATAGTAATTAATCTTGTGAATTCTACCTAGTTTATCTTCTTTGTTTGTCCTTGATTCCTTCTTATTATATGCTTTTCTTTATCAACCATGGAACAAGTATCTCACCCAACATCATTCACACTATAATGAATATATCACAAATGAGATCCCAATTTATTAACCAATGCAAGTATACGTGGATAAATACAATTTATACATAACAACAAAGAATATTGAACAACATTAAGTGTGATAAGTATATTGCACAAACTAAGTGGTCTATGTGATAAAGAATTTTTTATTATTTCTCAAAGACTCGAGTTTAAGCACTATATATGTCAGGAATGTGAACGTTTAATGTCAAAGGTTTAGAATTATCTTATAAGTATGAAAATATATACATGTGTAAAAAGAAGAGATCTAGATGTTTCCAGAGAGAAGAAGAATCGATGCAAATTGGAAGTTGGATCAGAATTTTAATAACCTGCAAGTTGATGTAGAAAATGAAAGCAAGTTGATGTTAGTCGTGGTCTAATTAAGTATATTGTCCCATATGTCTATTATTACAGTATGTATGTGTTGTTTAAGCAAGTTGGAATGCAAGTTGGCTTCTAATGTTTTCACGTTGTCTACATAAACAAAACGGAACAAACGTCACCCATTTCTTTCTTTTCTCTTCCCTACCTGTTGATTTGACCCTTAACGCCTCTCTAATGTTCTTTTATTTCATTACCCTTTTATTGCAAGCTGAGTTAGGTTTGAGTTAGGTTTAATAAGGGTAAATTATGCGTTTATTATTCAAACTATTAGTTTTGGTATGTTTAGTACATAAATTTTTAATTTTTTCAAAATTATATCTAAAGTTTAGTTTTTGTTTCATTTTAATACCCCTGTTTAAAATTTAGTGTTAACTTTTTGGAAAAAAATTGAAAGTTTAGGTATTAAAACGGATCATAACTGATAGTTTAGGAACTAAATGCTTTAAGCTTTTAACGGCAGAGTATTAAAATGAAACAAAAACTAAACTTTAGATATGATTTTAAAAAAATTGAAAGTTTAGGTAGTAAAATAGACTAAAACTTATAGTTTAGATACCAAATGCATAGGTTACCCTTTAATTATTACAATTACCGGGTGAGAAATCATTTATGAATAGGTTCCCTCGAATTTACAGGCTAGTTTCAATAAAATTTAGGACATTTTCAGAGGTGTTAAAGGAAAGTGAGTGGCGAGATTCTTCAGTTATATTTGATAGATAGCTCTTGGATAGAGAAAGAAGCATACTCAATGTAATTAAAAGAGAAGTAGGTGAAGCTCAAATCAAACCGGGCGTAGCTGATCGTATTATTTGGATTCACGAGAAGGATGGGAAGTTCTCGGTCAAAAAATTGACTGATTTGTTGCTTAGGAATGATAATATCATTGAAGTAGATCAGCCTAAATATGATAAAATATGGAGCCTCAAGGTTCCCCCGAAGGTGAAATGCTTCTTATGGATGCTAATACAAAATAGAGTACCAACAAAAGCGTTTCTCATAGGTAGAGGAATTAAGCTAAATGAGAATCAATGCTTATGTCCATGGTGTGGCGATGCTGAAGAAGATTCGAATCATGTTTGTTTCTTGCATATATATGGCGTCTTTCTGGATGTCTTTTTGCAGGTGGTGGCAAATAGGAGGGAGTAGCGCGTCAACTATAGGTGAGCTGCTTGAATTTGGGTTCCAGGTTCGTTGGTCTGTGCCAAGAATTTTAGCATGGCAAGTTAGCTTTGCGACAGCTTTGTGGAGCATTTGGATGGTCAGAAACGATTTCGTTTTCAGGGAGAAAAAAACAAAACTTAAAGATGTTGTATGTATAGTCAAAATGCGTGCTTTGGTTTGGTGTAAGGCACTCAAGGAGTTTAATGATCTGGATGAAAATCGTTGGTGGGTGTGTCCGGGGTCTAGTGTGGATACCTGTGAATAACTGAGAAGGCAGAATTTGATTTGGCAGCCTCCAGGATTGGGGATTATGAAGTTTAATGTGGATGGATCGGCTAACAAAGAGGCAGCGGGGTGCGGTGGAGTGTTAAGGAATTCTGAAGGACATGTGGTGGCTATGTTTTTCTGGCCTGTTTCACTGGTTAATGTTGAATTTGCTAAGCTGGTTGCAGTAAAATTTGCATTAGAATTATTTTGTGGATCTAAGTGGCTGAGGAAGGTTAATTTGATTATTGAATCCGATTCTTCTGTAGTATTAAATTGGATACATTCTTGCTCCTGTCGTCCTTGGAGGTGGGGAGCTACCTTTGAAGAAATTGATGCGATGGTATTAAAGATTAAAGATGTTAAGTTTTACTTCACGCCGAGGTTAAGAAACAACATGGCTGATCAACTTGCCAAAGTTGGATTGAGTAGAAATGTTATGTTTAAAGCTACTTGGTAAATTAGCAGGTTGAACTTTATTGTTTGTGTTGTGGACTGGTTTGGTTTATGCTTGATTGTTTAGTAGGAGTTGTAATTTAGGTCCTTGTTTGTTCATGTTTTCTGCAGGTCGGTTGTAATATCCCTTAACTATGGAGCACTCTTTTCCCCCATATAGGATTAGGGGGTTTTTTAATGAGGCTCTTAGTTGAGGATGAGATTGCTTGTGCTAAGAGTAATAAAATTTCTGGTTTTTTGCTGAGCAAAAAAAAAATTATTACAATTACCATATGAAATGATTAATTAAATTAAAAATTGAATAAATCGATCGATTTAATCAATTGTATGTAGAACTATATATTATTATTTACAATAAATATAAATACATAATTCAATTATAATTTTAAAAAAAGCATAAAATATCAAACCCCAAAGAAACTAATATAAATACTGTTTCCATAAATGTTAATTAAGTTCTAAAATATTGGTGATATTGGTTGATATATGATCATAAATTTCTTTCAATATAATCATGTGGTTCATAAAATTGAATTTTATTTAATATGATTTTGTGGTTCATAATCTCTTTCATATAGTATTCAAATTATTATAAGCTCTAAACATATTTTTAAATGAATTTGTATGGTGAAATACGCCTGAACCGAAGCCATGAAGTAGGTAGAGACAGATACGGAACATTATGTTAGGAAGTACAAACTTAAAAAATTATATTAAAAATTTAAAGTTGCGAAATTAAATAATAAATATAAAATAAAAAAATAATATAAGGAAATTTAAAATTTTTAAGTGAACGACCACATCCCTCAATACTCTCTCCATCCATCCCTGAAAAAATGCAAATATCTTGTATCACAAATATAACATCTTGACACAGTTGTTATCTCATACGTCATTTGAATGAAACCCTTTTTAAATAAGTTAATCTTATCGTTAGTAATTTATGTCATGATCTACCCCTTCATAAAGCTATGTGATACTTGATAAAGAGACATTTCTTTAATTTTCTTGTCAAATTTAAAGTAACATGTCCAAATAAACAAGTCATGTATTAGTCTACAAACCATAATATGATCTCAAAGCCACAAACACTCTTAAATAAAAGATCTCACGGGACCTAACAAAAGTTAGAATCGAATCTCACTTCTAAACCATGAGCATAGTGTGGGACCCATAGGCATCAAACTATCCTTCGATATTTCTCCTATAGAGATATTATACCATCTACTTGGTCTCAATGTTTGCACAAGTCCCACATGAGTATAAGAAAAGGTCGCGTACACCATAATAACTCCACACGCTAGTTTAAAATGAGATATGGTGGAGATCGACATTAATCATTTTTCTTTAAAGAGCTAAAAATTAAAAAATATAACACCAATAAACATTAGAACGTCTCAAACGATATCATTTTCTAAAAAAACACCTTCATGGCTATTCTGTGCAAATATCTGCTTGACTTGTATCATCGTTTTGTTGATGGGGCGATATCAAGGACTAGGATAAACCCTAACATCTTACCCCACTCGATTGATGGATAAATTTCATTGAACCTTTGGCTAAAGAGAAAAAAATATTTTAGTCCCACCTAAAATTTAATTATTTAATTAAAGTACTCCTTTCAATGGGTAAATTATACTAATGGTGACTGAAATTTTAGAACACTTTTATTTTGGTCATCAAAATCGAAAAACTTTTATTAGAGTCATTATTTCATTTAAATCAATGGGAACCATTAACGACAGTTAACCTAGCACGTAAAACTTTTTAAAAAGGACATAATCCACTCTTTCCATCCTTATTTCTATCATCGTTCGACGGTTTATTTTAAAAAAAAATCGTCTAACTATTCATTTTCTATTTCTTTCTTTCAACTCGTCAGTGTCAATCGTTGGATTAGCTTTGAAAGATAACTATATTAATTTCTTGACTAAATGAAATTTTTTTCGTTGTCAAAATTGACAGTTGACCGTTTCATTCATCGAAAACTTGATCTTTACATTGGTAGCCAATTAAAAATCTCATGATTTTCTGAGAAAGAATATTTTGACATACTATATCAGCATTTTTAACGACAACTCGAGATACCAACTATAACAAAAATAAATTAAATATTTAATGATCACAATAAAAATTCTAAAAATTCAGTTATCAAAGTGAAAACTCCTTAAGAAAATACGAAAGTTACTTGGAAATCCAATGGTGCACCTTACTGGATTAGGACGTTACAGCTTTCATGTTCAGCAACTTGGTGAAATAAATAAATACTAAAAGAAAAGGATCAAATAAAAAATATTAATTAAATAAAATAAAACTTTTTCCTTTTCATAATAAGGTGAGTAAAATCATGAATAAATGCAACGCTATTTAATACATAATAATCAATGTTACAGTCACCTTTCAACACGGAATTATGGGGTCAGTATTTCTCGAAACCGACCCTTCCACTTTATTACCTATTTGGTGAGAGCCGAGCTTCTAAAAGTTGGGCCAACCATTTATTTGAAAATTACTGTTAAATCTTTTAGGGTAAACTATACTATCGACCACTCAACTATTTAATCCTTTTACTTTTCCAATCGATATTTCGATTTTATCAATCAGACCACTTAACTATTTAATTGTTGTCAATTAGGCCACATAATATATAAGTATTGAGGACTAAATGTATAATTTTACAAATTGACAACAATTATTGTTAACTCTATCAAATAATTTATTTTTTAAATAATTTCATAAACATTTTAATACAATTAAATCAATTTATATATATGAAATTATTAGTAAGAAAATTAAAATTATTACTTAAGTTACAAAAATAAATTTAATGATATATATATATATATATATATATATATATATATATGTTAACGTTATATATTTTGTGTTGCACTTCAACACAAATCTTTCTACCTAGCTTTGGTGGTTTAGGCGTTGGTTTGAGAACCAATATTGCATATGTTCAAACCCTAAAAAATAAAATACTTAAAATATAAAATGCCTTCCATTCTTGTTGTGACATGTGTTGATTAGAGGATTAAATTAATTAAATTAAAATTAGGATTAAATTCACATAATATATAAGTTTTGAGGACTAAATGTATAGTTATACAAATTTTTTTAACCGCTACATCAACACTTCCGTCAATTGTTAACGGCAAGTGGCCTGATTGACAAAATTGAATGATCGATGGCAAAAGTAAAAGAACTAAATAATTGAGTGATCAATGATATAGTTTACTCAGTCTTTTATAATATTAATATAACAATTTAAATAATACTTCACATATATTATGTCAATAAATAATTTTAAAGTTAAAAATTTTGGGGACCAAATTAAATTTTTTGAAAATTCAAAGGGCCTAAATTATAATTTTTTTAAAATTTTGGGGGCCATGACCCCCACTAGCCCTACTTATGTTCCACCACTATTGATTTTAATATTAATTAAGCACTTTCATTAATACATGTACACTTAATATATGAACAAATTTGAGTTTAACATGTTAAAAATAAAAAATAATATTTTTTATAAAAAATTAAGGATAGCATTTATTTATTTTGACATTAATTTCATGTTCTCTATGTGATAAGTGCATGTAGGATTATAATTTAGTCCAAACGGACACATAATGCTTAAATTGATGATTTTAACCGATGAAAGAAATTAATTATTATGATATTTATAGTTTATGGATTTTGCGTATTAATGGTAAAAAAATATTAAATTAGACGCCATAACCAAAACCAATTAGAAAGAAGATTAATTTGGTACGTAAGAATTCATGGTATGGAAGTTAGGCTGAATTAGGATAGAAGAGCTTGGCAAAGAGAAGCTCATTCCAAGTATCTTGAAGTCCAGGCAAGCACCAATGCGTGCAATCGGCATAGCTAGCGGGGTTGGCTAGCTGCTCTGGCGACAACGGATTCCATTGCTTCTTGTAGATCGACGTGTGGGCGTCTTTCCGATAACTCGAGAGCTGAGTGATGTTGAGGAACGTGATCGGGAACTCGGATTTACCAAACTCTTCCCCGATCACCTTCATTATGCTTTTCCTGCTATCGGTACCCCAGTAGCTTGGATCTTGGATCAATGTTGTTTGGTTGTAGCAGTTCCCCCCAGGCTCTCCACCCCAGTCGCCCCTGCCAATTCGTGCAGTGTTACACTTGTCCTAATTTACCAATAAATCTCTATTGTTTTGAACTTACTTAGAATGTGTGGGGGACATGCTGGTGAAAAAAACCATCGTCTTGGTGCGGTCCATATTTCGAGTCACCCATTTCAACATGCTCTTCATCGCCATACGATATGCATCCTCCGTCGACAACTCTATTATTTCTTTCTCAACGTCCTCGAACGACCCTTTCCTGTCCAAACAAAGCACACACATCTCCTCACACATATGTTCCTCCCGAAACAAAAATACAACATGGAATCGGGATACGTACAAGATCTTCATGTCCTGCCCGGTCACCCACCACAGATACGTATTGAAAACCAAAATGTCGACGCCCTTCCAATGCTTCCCGTGCTTGTTTATCGAACCTTTCCTCACTATCCTATCCGATACTCTGTGAACTACAGCATTGTCCGAGTTCGATTCCAAAAGGAACGGAGCCCAGTAGAACTCGATGGTGGCATTGTAATCCTACGCAACACGATACAAATATTAATAACCCGAGTTGGATTCTAACTTCGTCCCTAGATTCGGGTTTCTTAAATTAGATCACGAGGTTGAGGCTAGAGTTCTTTTCGGGTGAGATCATAAATTACCTTGGCTCGGAAGACAGTGAGGGCATCATTGTTGTAGGTCTCCATAGATTTTTTGTGTTGAGGGATGAGTCTATGAAGAAGGCAGATCATGGATACATACTGGCCACGGTTCAATGAGTCACCCACAAACATCATTCTCTTCCCTCTTAGACTCTCTAGCATTAATGTGGCATTGAATCTGTTGAATGCCAAAATCTAATCTCATAATTTATATTATTTTCACAATAAATAAAATGATTTCCACAATAAAATTAGTCATAATGATTTTTTTGTTCATATAAAATATTAATAAATCTCTATTATATATATATATATATATATATATATATTTAAAGACAAAACGACAGAACCCATCAAACAAACTTAACGGTAAAAAGAGTGTTATTATCCTTAGAAGTCTTAAACCGGAACAACTACGTTTGCAAAATATTATTTGCACGTGTTCCCAACTCAACACCTGAGTAGTACTACGTGGCATAATGACGAGCGACACAGTCCGACCACATCAGCAGACACGTGGAATTAAAGAGAGCAAGGGGTCCCAGCTACTCAATATTATTTCATAGTAACACAACACCGACAATTTGCTTATTCCTATGGCCGAAAGGATCCATTCGGTTTGGTACAACCACACATAGTGGACCGCCGGCCCGTGACCTTTTACCCCACCCGAACCGTTATTTTTAGCTCATATTTACCGACTACTAAACCAAACGTCATTATTTTTAATCACATTTAATTAATCTCATAAATGATTAATCTTTGAATCATAAAACTCATTAAGATGCTCAGACAGTGTGATTAGGTAAGATATTAAGGGACATCATCATTGCAAATACAAAATTGGTCGTAAGATTCCGACATTTTTCATCGGTCGGAAACAGACAAATAAAAGGCCGTAAAATCATAAAAAATTTAAAAAAAAAATCAAAGGAGTTTCGGGAGATACCTGGGAAGATCGCAGCCATGTGGTTGCCATCGCCATTTCTGATACTCGGTGTCCGGTCTCCCATGTTCTTGACACGTCAACTGCGGCTGTATGTAGGGGCACTCCGATTCTTCATACTGAGGCCGAGTCAACTCGTCCCTAACCCACCTCCCGCTGAATACATCGCACCCCTCTTGTCCCTTCCCCACTGCAAACGGCGGCACCTTGTAATCCTCCCTTTTCTTCACTAACCCCGCAACCAGACCAAAACCGAGTCAAAAGAGAGAGGTCGAATCGAATTGAGTGACCGAGTCAATGATAGGGTCAAACTCACCTGGTTTTGGGGAGGCAACTCGGGTGGGCCGGGTCGGTTCAAGCCCGCCAAAAATGTAAGCGAAATATTCTCCATGGACGATAGCTACAAGAAGAATGAAAGCTAAGAGGGTGTAGAGATAAGTAGAGAGACGACCTTTCCGAAGAACGCCAGATGAAGACGAAGAAGAAGAAAGTGGCGGTGCCTTCATGTTCCCCATCTTTTTCTCTTATAAAATTACATCAGAAGAAGAAACTCTTTTCTTTCCCTTTAGGATTTCTTCCAAGATTCTAAATAATCTTCAAAAGGTTTAAAAGTTTATAGGAAGGTCGAGGTTTTCGTATTCGCCAATAATTAAATATTGTTGGGAACTATGCATAAAAAGGTTGAATTGTTAAAACAAATTGGAAAATTATTGTTTTAGTCCCTTTATTATAATATTTTATTTTTTATATTTTTTTTTGTTAGTATTTGATTTATTGATCAGCTATTTCATATTGGATTCTCTGAGGACTCATTATGGAAACGATCCTTTTAACTCGGTTTGCTTTATTTATAAACATTATAAATTAAATTCTCGATCTTATTTAAGAGATTTAACGTATCAATTCGTTGAACTAAGGGGTCGATTGACATGATAAACACGATTGGTTGCATATAATCACCGGGTCATATCTTTCTGATTCGATTGTTACTTTCTGACTTCTGAGTTTGCAGTTTTGGAGGCTTTGTTTATAATTTTGTTTTTGTAATTATTTGAGTGAACAAATATTTAATAAACGTAGCATTAGTTAATATTTTGTTTTTGTAAGGAAAGTGGATAACATTTGCCTTGGCTTGTAAGCTAAAACTGCCCCATTATTACAATGACTTGGGAAGGGTAAAAAATGGATTCGATCTTGGTGAAGATTTGGTAGCATTTCAACCTCCATTTTGTTGGGATTTCAATGGTTTGTTTCTTACTCCAATCCTCGCCAATAAATTAGGTGTTTAGTGTTATTCAGCTGATGATGAGCAACACAATTGGAATGGGTCAACTAAAACAGGTCCCATATACATACAGATGTTCATTTTCTACCTAATTAGTTAAGTACTCATGGAATACTTGAGTTGATATAAATATTTATCGCCAATAAGACCTTTTCTACTTAGTTTTGATGAAAAAATGTAAAATGGAATCAGAATGATGAAGTGGGAGAGAGGCAGTGTTATATGGAAGAACGGATCATCGGAAAATCGTTCCCGGCACAACCATTCGCGGTTTTGCATGCTACAGACTGCCATAGAACAAAATTGCAGCTGCTCAAAAATTTACTTGAGAATAGGAGCCTCCTTGACTGGCTGAAGGTCCCCTAAACTGCCGCACCAAAGAAGATACATACATCTGCAAAAATGGTAACATATATGATTGTGTGATTAGTAGGTTTTGCCTCATTTCATTACCGACTAACAACAGGGTACCTGCGTTCTATGCGGTAAGCTGACCCAGAAATCCAAGTTCGGAACTGCCTGAAGAAAGCATAGCAAGGACATAAAAAAAGGTAAGAGAATGGTCTGTCAGTCGAGGCAAGCCAAAATCACAACTTTCACATAGAAAGAAAGGATAACTTCAGAGAAAAACTTACTTCTATACCGTGAACTCCGAGGAAAAAATATCGATAAACAGTACCAGCAAACATATAGGCTCCAAGGAGGCATATGATACTAGAGGAAAAAAAACCCGTCAATCAAGAGCTGTTACAGATATTTTATCATCATCATCATTATGACCTAAGATGTTAAAACCCTTACAGGATCAGCAAGGTACCAAACCAACCAAAACCTTTCCCATGAATGGATATGATTGTTGCACACTCAGAAGGATGTCGTAGCGTTGTGGCCTATCAAAATTAACAAAAGGAACTTTGAAACACCAAGATAATCCACTTGTCAAATATGAGAAAACAGAAAAGTTATCAACATAACGGACATCCTGTAATGCACATGCATGTGTATTCAGGCATAAGCATACTCAACATATACATGATGTTTGGTTAAAAATGTTTTCAAGGATATCAATGTAAGAAACAGACTGAAACTTACATAGTCACAAGTCCCCAGTTTCTCCATTGAATCTGGCCCCTGTTCAGAAGAATGGTATATTAGGTTTATATCATAATTAGATATTTTGCAACTCCAGAGAATTTTTATTTGATCATATCTAGCATATTAAACATTGTGGTAAATGCTCTTACTTGAGCTCCAGTTGAATCGCAAAGGATTGAGACAGTGAACAATTGTGCCCTTTTCCACTGCTTGACATTCTAACAATGACACCTTTGAAAGGATTCAGCTCGTCTGTCATGTATAACGTAGTATAACAGACACTATCACCAAACTGCATTTATACAAAAAAAGAGCGAAATCGACTGTCTCCTCACAGCATGGCACCACGGAAAAAGAAAGCAATCAAACACACAAAGGGAAACTGCCACTAAAAGCTATGTTCAATAAATGTGAAGCATCCAAGGCTTACCATCAGAAAGAATTGCCACTTTGAGAGGCGGAGTTGGAGTGTTTCTCTTATTTACTAATGTCTAGGTCATACTAGAAAGTCCCTTAGAAATAAAATGCATTTTTGACTTACCAAGGATTCTAACATCTGTACTTGAAACTTGTCCAATAGTAGTGGCTTAGTGCATACGTGATAACCTGCATAAACCACATAGATTCATATAGAATTTGATAATTCAACGTACTGCATTTATTTTCCTTTCCAACTATATGCATATGAAAGTCTGTACCATGCTGCTAATAATGCACATGTAGAAAAATACTACAACTTTATAACCACTTGCATGAATGAGGAAAAGTTATATTTTAAATTTCAAGTAATGCAAATGTGAAGAAGCAATGTGCTACAAAGAGAAAAATTTACACATATTTCTAACACTTTTTTGTCAGACTCTAATAGGCTAAAGTATAAAAAAAGACAATTGGGAATTAAGTGAGAATGTCAAAACACAGAAACTAAACAATAAACAAGGATACCTTATTTAAAGAACTCAATAATAAAAATGCAATTACATCTGATCATGATTGAATAGTTACTTGTCAATAACCAGTAATTATGATGTTGAAAATTTATCATATTGAAGAATAGCACCGGTTATAAACTAGTAAACAAAGGAAATACTAACTAAAAGCAAGAAAATCAGCAAAAATGTTTACCTCCAGAACTTTTAGCCACTAATGCACTACATTCCATTCCACTGCGTGATGGGTCTCCACAATCCTGAAGTATCATAAGACAATCAAATAAAAGAGGAAAAATTCGTCAATGATGACTTGCATCGTATTCTGGATCCTTTCATAGTTAGCATGTAAACAATAAAACATGGATAAATTCCGCAAGCAATTACCGAGCACTCAGCACATCCAGGTGGATCGTGGCTAAAAATCATTCCACCGCAAAGCTGCTCCATTGTATCAATGAACAGAAAGCCAACAAGAAAATAAGCTAAGTTTATAGGTAAAGAAGTCATATAAACTTGCTTCTAAAGACTATAGCTTCTTCTTATTGGTTACAAGTTCAGTAATTAAACCCATACATTTTATTGAGAGGAAAAACAACAAGCAAGAATTTAAAAGCATACTTGAGTAGTAATTAACCACATCAGAATCCGCATAAGAAGTTCATGCTTCAAAAGAAAACCTAAAGAAAACAGAATTACTTAAAACAAAGTAATAAACTGTAACCTGATAGAGCCAACCTGAAACCAAAGCAGTCTCATTCACAGCCACCTTATAAAACCCAACACAGTTAAACAAAATAAAAGGCATTTCGATTAAGGAAGAAAAAAATAACCCAAGTTACCCAACTGAGATATGAAGGCTTCCAATCATATGAATATAATGTGCAATACAACACAATTTTCAAAACAACAAAATTTTAACACTCCAAACAGGTCTAAAGTTCAACTACAGAACTAAACTAATCGAACAGGAAGCAAATCTAACACACACCGTTTTCTTCTCAACCAAATTCGTAATAAATTCTCTTTAAATAGAACACCGAACTTGTTTGTAAGTAATCCAATCGCAGAAAATATGAATTTCACTCCTTGATAAGTTAATTCTACCGAGTTGCAACATTCTAAATTAGTATAGTATATACATGAAAAAAGGAATTATATAAATTTTCAACAACCTCGTTTACTAAAATCTAACAACATATACCTACATGTGTGTATATAATACATCATTTTATACCTGACTTCAATTTTAAAAAAAAAAGTAATTTAGAAGAAATCAGAGATAGTTAGATCAGGGAAAAAAACGAAGTTGAGTGTGTTACCCGTCTTCGCTGAGGACGCCATGGGAAACTAGGCAGTGGAGAAGCCAAGGTGAAGTTGTAGAGCTTGTTGCGGTCAATGAAGCTGTGTTCGCAGATCCCGACAACTGGGTTAACTCGGAGTTGAATCGCCAAGAGAAAAATTACGAGAAGAAGCAATCTCCGAGATTCATTTCCCATTATCATTTTTATTAGCTCAAAAAACTATTAATAATTCTCTAATTTCTTTGAAACACTAAAGGCTAAAGAGTAATCCGAATACAAAGCTGGACCGAGAGGGACAAGCAGAAATAATAAGCTTCTTCGTGCATCCAAGAGAGAAAATTTAAACTTTGAATTAATTGCACAATCACATCTTGTATTTTCAATAATTATAATTTGATTAGTTTTATAGCTGTGGTGTGATACCCCGCCAAAGTTTTTCACGCAGCTTTGCGGGTAAATTACATCAGAAAATTAAAAATTTCTTTGCTAAAATTTGCTCTCTATTCACTGAACTTTAATTATTTTCAATTCCCTCACTATACTTAATAAATTAGGTTCAATTCCCTCATCTTACTTACCAAAACCTTTAATATATAAAATTCTAAAGAATGATGAACGACTAAAAAAATTAAATTTATTAAGTTCAGTGAACAAATTGAAAATATTTAAAGTACATCGAATGAAATAGGATAAAGAATAAAGTTCAGTTACCAGATTTTATAATTTACCCTTCTTTTTATTAATATAGGGTGATAATGAGGAGAAATTATTTGATGGACCCGACTCACTACGTTATCCGTGATCTCAACCAATAAGGTTCATCCATCTCAAGGTAACTTCTAAATAACTACCTACTCTTTTTTTATATGTACGAAAGATGTAAAGATTTAACTTAAAAAAATGATGTAGATGAACCTTATTGGTTGGAACCACAGATGATGCAGTGAACTAGGTCCATCTAATAATTTTCCGATAACAAGATATCATATGTTATAAAAATCATCAATAATTTGATAACCTTTACAGTTTCATATTCTAATGCTTAAACTTAAACTTCTGAAAATAATAATAATAATAATAATAATAATAATAATTTAATAATACAAAGACCAAAAAATGGTCGATTCTGGAAATTGGAAATAAAATTCCAACTTCGCATGTGCTTTATTCAGCGACCCAATAAATAAATATAAAAATCAAGTCAAGTCAAGTCTGCATGAACCTTTTTCTACGGATTGGAAAAATGGAATAAATCAATATATTGTGTATGGTAAATTCAATCAAATAATTTTTATTAAAATCAATTATTATAATACATAAACAGGCGGATGCATACCCTGTCTGTACTTAATTTTAGACCTAGATAAGTCTGGACAAGACATGATCCTCACATGATATTTGCGTATAATACATTATAGCAAAACTTGACGAGCTCAATCTTTGTTTGGTTTTACCTGTCATCAGCGTCAAGAAGAATCTTATTTCATTGTTTAAAAATGGTACCGGTAGTTAACAGACAATCCAAGGCAAAAAACAAGTTAAACAACTTCCAAGTGTGGTTTCATGACTCATTGCTTGACTTCTTCTTACTCGTAGCTTTCTCCGTTCCTTTATAACCCCACCAATCTCTTAACATGTTTCTCCATCCTCGAAATCATCACAAGCGAACTCCTCGGAAAATAGAATGATGTCAGACCGATCCAACGACCCGACACCACCCTCCGATCCATCAAAGCCGTCCATTCCCATCTCCTACCCAATCCAGACCCTTGAAGACCTTGACTCCCGCTCCTACTTCTCTTCTTTTCATTACCCTTTTAACAGGTCCAGTGTTCCTCTCCCACCAGACTCGGGTTTGGCTCAGAGGCCTAGGGTTTTGGTTTGCCATGACATGCAAGGTGGTTACGTGGACGATAAGTGGGTCCAGGGTGGAGATAACGCCGGCGCTTATGCCATCTGGCACTGGTATTTGATCGATGTTTTTGTTTATTTCTCTCACTATTTGGTCACCTTGCCTCCTCCTTGCTGGACCAATACTGCTCATAGACATGGAGTTAAGGTTAGTTTCCGAATATTTTAGTGTAGTAAAGCTTGTCCCTTTTAATTATTGAAACCCAAAGTATGATGATTTTTTCTGGTTGTGAATGCAGGTATTGGGGACATTTATCACTGAAGGGGATCAAGGAACAACTATTTGCAATAAGCTGCTGTCCACAAAGGAGTCTGCTCACAAGTATGCCGATCTCTTGGCAGAGCTAGCTGTTGCTTTGGGCTTTGATGGCTGGCTGGTACTTCATTATATAAAACTAGTTAAAACAATGTTTCATGTTTTGTCTCCGGTCACCGTAACCTTGTAATGCTTACCTGCAGCTCAATATGGAGGTCAACCTCGACATCGGCCAAATCCCGAATCTGAAAGAATTTATCAGCCATTTAACTCAAACAATGCACTCCTCGGTCCCTGGTTCTTTAGTTATATGGTTCGTAAAAGAAGAGGCCATCCTCTGATTAAGCAAACATACATTTGAAGCATGTTTTGTAACATTTATCTGATTGTCGGTGCCGGTTGCTCAGGTACGATAGCGTTACGGTCGACGGAACAATTAGCTATCAGAATCAATTGAATGAACAAAATAAACCTTTCTTTGATATTAGTGATGGAATCTTTGCCAACTATTGGTGGGAGGTATTGCCATTTGATTCATTTCAAGAACCTAAGTTTACCTTTTTTGTTGTTGTATATATAAACTTTTATGTACGTTGCGCAGGACAACTATCCGAAACAATCGGCAGAGGTCGCCGGCGATAGAAAGTTTGATGTCTACATGGGGATAGACGTATTCGGAAGGGGAACATACGGTGGTGGAGGATGGAATGTACGATTCATACTAATCTTATGATGATTTTTACGTCGTAGTGGCGTAATATAACAATTCTTTCCTTGACAGACAAATGTAGCACTTGATGTGATTATAAAGGGTGATGTCTCGGCTGCCATATACGCTCCCGGATGGGTCTATGAAACGAAACAACCCCCCGACTTTCAGACTGCTCAAAACCGGTAATGGACTTCTTTCGTTACCGATAACATGCCCTGATTTCCCCTTATGATTCGGATGCCGTAGGTTCCTCTGCTTATTAAACAGAGAAGCATAACCATAATTACAAACAGTAGGATAATACAGTCTGGATTTTGCAGTTGGTGGGGACTGGTCGAGAAATCATGGGGATTCGATCAAAATTATCCGAAAGCATTACCATTCTTTTCAAATTTCGATCAGGTTGCAACCACCTCGAATTCTTTGTTTTGCTATACTTATTATATGTCCATTCATAGTATGTATATTTGCATTCCATGTCTGCATAACTGTTCAGGGCCATGGTAATCATATTTCCGTCGACGGAGCGCAAATATTAAGCATTCAATGGAACAACATTTCATTACAAAATTTTCAGGTTTTCAAGCTTGTCAGTTTCATTCTAAGTTGCTTTTTTTTCCTAGAGAAGAATGCATATACTTACATGTCATGGTCCCTGGTTGTTTCAGCCTTTCCTGGAGTATGCCAATGATTCCGCTTCGAAAACCATTGATGTCCGTGTTGAGTAAGTTCGCATGAATAATTGTATTTGAAACAATTCAGTCATACATATATACTGTTCAATGATCTTAGAATCGGTCGATAAATGGTAGTTTCAAGGAAGCATCGTATAGCGGAGGGGGAAACCTCACCTTTCGTGGAACTCTTGAAGCCAAGGCCACTTTCTCGACCAGACTCTTTTCAGGACAGCTTCTGATGGGTAGCTTACCACTTCACTTCATATACTCTGTAAGCTGTCTTGACTTAGTGCTTTACATTGTAACCGAATATTTCCAGAATGGAATATCCTACAAGTCCGAGAATGCGATCTTCAATCATAGTGTTCGGTAACCCTTGCTGCAGGTCAAATCAAAAGGGAGCTCTAGAGTGGGCCTGTATCTTGAATTCTCTTCTGAAATGGAAGGAAAAAAGAATTTGTTTCTTGCATCACAAGGAACAGTCGCATTCTTGAGCGAATCTAGTGAAGTGATCGTGCCGCATCAACTTACGACACCGGAGGATGCCCCGGGATGGGTCGTACAAGAGGTTAGCATAGCAATGCATGGATACACATTAACAGAAATCCATGTTGTATGCTACATTGAACAGCCTGGAAATACAAACGCAACAGAATACTTTGCCGTGCTTGGACATATTAAGATTTCAACTTCGGACAAGAATACGGAGTTCCCTCCATCTACTTCCTGGATCATCGACGGCCAAGACGTCGAATGGGGAGGTTCGCAAGGTTCCAAAACCCTTAGTCTGAAGATCAGCTGGAAACTGAAAGATGGAAAGAACCCCCCTTACCCGAGGTACAACATCTATGTGGAGAAATTAAGCAAACAATCGATCCGAAGTCCGGGAAGAAAGGTAGACAGCGTAGGAGAGTATGTCGGGGTAGCACACGTAGAAGCCTTCTATGTATCTAAACTCGCCGTCCCTTCAGGTACTTCCGGCATCAAATTTATCGTTCAAGTTTGTGATGTCGATGGTGCTAGCCAGAAGCTCGATGACGCTCCATTTTTTCAACTCAATGTTTGAAGCTCAATGAACATTATCACTTTTGTTTCTTTGCCTGCCTTATCTATGATAATCCAATGAATGGGATATAATAATAATTAAGAGAAAAATCTTTCTTTGAAACTGATCGGTAATAGTTGATAAAGATCCTATGACAAAGATCAAAGAAAGGTTTATTCATTTGGTTCAGTTCAGGGGACACCATGCCCAAAAAAGGGGAAATTACTTATTGAGTCACTCATAAATTATTTACTTTTTATTTTGATCATATAACTATTATTTATATTAAATCACACTTAATTTATGTTTTGGTCACTCATCTTTAAAAATTTAGCACACCTTCAGCTATAGTTATCATATAAGCAACATGCATATACCATATCATCATCTCACAGTCATCATATACCATATCATGGGGTCTGTCCATTCGCTACCAGTGTTAAAACATGTTCATTTAGTGATGCAGTGACACACAACATAATCGTTAGGTTTAAAGAAAAAAAAAGCTATAAAGAAGCACAAGATAATGATGCAAGTGGCGATAGCAAGTGTGAGAGCAGGGTTTAACACCGCATACAAGCCAGTGACGAAAGCCACCACCAACGCTGCCTCTGCAAGAAGGCCGAGCATAATCATGAGGTTAAATGCGGAAAGCTTGTATACTCTTCGTGCTCCGGTTACCGTAGGACAAATAGTTGAAGTTGACAGCTAACAAGGTGGAGATCATGGCAACGCTATCTGCAATAACAAATGCTACGAAAGCCCACTCATGGCTCATGATTGCTGAGAGGAGTTTCGGTTGATTCAATAACCCAAAGCAATTAGATTTTAAATTCTATAGGTACCTCTTTCTTGGAATCCAAGTTCTCCAATCTAACGGTTACTCTATCATCGTTAAAAATGAGTACCATATCAGAATCAGATTCGCGAGAAGCAGCCAACACCTGGAGAGGGGTGTTTCCATGGATGTCTTTTCCAATCTAATGGCTGTCATTTCATCTTCATCAATTTCACAGGCTGCTGATTCATCGCATTCCAACAACACCTCTACCATTCGAGGGCGACCAAAATGTGCAGCATAGTGGAGGGGAGTCCGTCCATTCTCATCTCTCGCTTTTACCAAATTCTTTCCCTTCCTCAAGATTACCTCTGTAGTTCGAGAACCCACTTCCTCTGGCATGATAAATATATGTTATAGATTTGAATAAGCTTCGTATAAAAATAGGTTTTGTGTGGGAAAAGTAGAAAAAAATGAGTAAAGCATTAAAACTTATATAAATTTAACTTACATGGGTAAGTAGCGGCAGCCAAAGCTGCAGCATGCAGAGCAGTTCTACCACAGGGGCCTCGATGAATATGATCCGCCACGACGGATTTATCTAATATGATGGCCACCAAGATATGATTCCTCTCCTAGCTGCAATCATTGGCGTCTCTTGGCTACTATTGACGCAATATGAGAGTTGAGGATCTGCTCGAAGCAATTCACGGACCACATCAACATGACCGTATCGAACTGCTATGTGCAGGGCCGTATCTCCCTCGTTGTCCGTCAGTCCGACCATCTGCTTTGCCGGGTCGATACCATTCTCTAGGTCTTTCTCTTGGGCTTCTGCAGTTTGGACAAGAAGTTGAACTATGTTACCATGCCCAAACCTGGCAGCAATGTGTAGTGGAATTTCACCTTTGGCATTGGGTTTCTTTAGTAGTGATGGGCACTTGCCAAGAATTTGTTGTACAAATTCGGTGGATATCTGATTAGCGGCTTTTTTTTCTCTTTGAAAAACCGCAATACAAATACGGAACACAGCCAATGGTTTGGAAAGTAAAAATTGGGGTGTCCAAAATTTTCACCGAAAGTTGGAATTGGAAAAATCAATTCCACCTAAAACTTTAAAAAAGAGAATGGTAGGCATAAATTAGGTGTTGAATATTTTGAATGGAAAAATTAATTTTAGTCATTAGATTTTAGAATATTTACAAGATTAGTCCTTAAGTTTTAACTATAAATACATTAGCTCATTTAGTTTCAAAATCATCCCAAAGTATTTTAGCTTTCTTTTAATACTAGAGAATTTAGAAAGTTTATTGAGAGTTGTTTTCTCCTTTTTATCAAGAGATAATTATCATTGTTTTCTCCTTGGTAGATCGAGAGAAGTTGTAATTCCTATTTTCTCATAGTGAAATTCTTCTACCGTTGCCCGTGGTTTTTACCCTATATTATTTAGGGGTTTTCTACGTAAATTATGTGTCTCTTTTATCTTCATTTTTATTTTCTAAAATTATCAGTTGTGATTTTGCTCTATTCGATAGCCGTCTTCCGCAACAATTAGTATTCGAGCCAGATTTGAGTGTGTAATATCTGCTTATTGTCTTTGTGGTTGCCACCAAAAGGTGGATCCTCCAACATAAGAAAATAAGAAGTTATTACACATTCTTTGAAGGTTCTAGAGAACTATTCACGGTAGTGAAATAGTGGGAGCTATCCGTAATAGAAGCTATTGCAACGAAATTTGATATTGAAAAATTCAATGGGAGAAATTTCTCATTGTGGAAATTGAAGATGAAGGTTATCCTGAGGAAAGACGGGTGTCTAGCGGCTATCAGTGAAAGGCTGGTAGATTTCACAGATGACAACAAATTGATCGAGATGGATGGGAATGCTATGGCAAACTTTTATCTAGCATTAGCATATGAAGTATTGTCAAGCATCGAGGAAAAGAAGACAGTTAAGGAGATATGGGATCATCTCACCAAATTGTACGAGGCCACATCGTTGCACAATAAAATTTTCCTTAAGAGGAAATTGTATACTCTCTGTATGTCAGAACCTACTTCAGTGACGGAGCACTTAAACACACTGAACACGTTATTTTCTCATCTTACATCTTTAAGATGTACAATAGGACAACTGCTGAACTTCTACTTCAGTCTACCTGATTCGTATGATCAACTCATCATCAACTTGACAAACAGTAATGTCACCAGTCTAGTCTTCGATGACGTTGCAGTTGCTGTTCTATAAGAAGAAAATCAGCGCAAAAACAAGGAAGACAAACAAGTAAATCTGCAACAAGCAGAAGCATTGACAACGATGAGAGGGAGATCAACGGAACGTGGCCAAAGCAGCAGTCATAAACATGGTAGATCAAAGTCAAGAAGCAAGAAAAATTTAAAGTGCTATAACTGTGGAAAAAAGGGTCACTTGAAGAAGGATTGTTGGAGTCTAAATAAAAACTCCAATCCACAAGGCAATACCGCAAACACTTCAGATGATGGAGATGCTCTATGCTGTGAAGCGTCAACCACCGTGGAAGGTAGAAAGAGATATGCAGATATATGGCTCATTGATTCGGGAGCAACATATCACATGACCTCAAGAAGAGAATGGTTCCATCATTATGAACCTGTCTCAGGAGGATCTGTGTATAGTTGTAATGATCATACCTTAGAGATCGTTGGCGTGGGAACCATCAAATTGAAGATGTATGATGGAACAATTAAAATTGTTCGAGATGTGCAGGACGTGAAATGACTGAAGAAAAATTTATTATCCTATGGATTGTTGGATAATAATGCAAGCAAGATTGAAACACGAAAAAGAATCATGAAGGTGTTCCGTGGAGCGCTTGTGGTGCTGAAAGGCTAAAATATAACTGCAAACTTGTACATGCTGAAGGGAGAGACTTTGCTAGAAACAGAAGCTTCTGTTGCCTCATGTAGTTCAGATTCTGCAATGCTATGACATCAGAAACTTGGACACATGTCAGAACAAGTAATGAAAGTCTTTGTGGAGAAAAAAACTACTTCCAGACTTAACAAAAGTATCGCTACTTTGTGTGAGCATTGCATAACAAGTAAGCAGCACCGGTTGAAATTCAAAACGTCAAATTCTAGAGGCAAAAGTGATCTAGATTTGGTTCACTCTGACGTATGGAAAGCACCAGTTATATCCCTAGGCGGAGCAAAATACTTTGTCTCATTTATTGATGACTACTCCTAGAGATGTTGGGTGTACCCTATTAAGAAGAAGTCAGACGTGTTTTCAACTTTCAAAAACTTCAAAGCGCGGGTGGAACTTGATTCTGGAAATAAGATCAAGTGTTTCAGAACAGATAATGGAGGAGAATACACAAGCGAAGAATTTGATGACTTTTGCAGGAAAGAATGCATCAAAAGACAGTTCACAGTAGCGAACACTCCTCAACAAAATGGAGTGGCAGAGCGGATGAACATAACCTTTTTAGAAAGAACAAGAGCAATGTTGAGGGATGCAAGCCTAGAAAAATCATTCTGGGTAGAAACATTCAATACCGCCTGTCGAGCTCCATCAACTGCAATAAAGCTGAAGACACCAATGGAGATGTGGAATGGTAAACCAGCTGATTATTCAAACCTCCATGTATTTGGAAGTATTGTGTACGTAATGTACAACTCCCAAGAAATTTCAAAGTTGGATCCAAAACCCAGGAAATAAAAATTCTTGGGGTATGTTGATGGAGTAAAGGGGTATCGCTTGTAGGATCCCACTGCCTGCAAAGTGATCATTAGCAGGGATGTTATCTTTGTAGAAGATAAACTACAAAGAAAAGAAGACGATGATAGCGCTGAAAAGTCAGATACTACAAAGATACATGTAGACAAGGAGGTTGAACAAGGAGATTCTTCTAAAGCAGAACCAACACATGATGAACAAGAACCAGAGAGTTCTGAAGCTCCAACAACTCACCAATCAGATCGTGTGAGAAGACATCCCAATTGGCACTCAGATTATGTTATAGAAGTTAATATTGCATATTGCCTTTTAACAGATGACGGTGAGCCATCAACATACCAGGCAATAACAGCTCAGATGCTTCACTGTGGATGATGGCGATGCAAGAAGAAATTGAATCCCTTCATAAAAATAATACATGGGACCTTGTGCCACTATCACAATGAAGGAAGTCAATTGGTAACAAATGGGTCTTCAAAATTAAGCAAAATAGTGATTATCAAGTGGAGAAGTATCGTGCAAGACTGGTGGTCAAAGGATATGCTCAAAAAGAAGTTTTGGCAATGTGTGCTACATTGAACTTACACCTAGAGCAACTAGATGTTAAAACAACTTTTCTTCATAAAAATCTTGAAGAAGAAATTTTCATGCTCAAGCCTGAAGGTTTTGAAGAAAAAGAAAAGACGAACTTGGTTTGCAAGTTGAATAAATCTCTGTACGGTCTAAAGCAGGCGCCAAGGTGTTGGTATAAGAGAGATTTGATTCCTTCATTATGTGCCTTGGATACAACAGACTTAATGAAGACCCTTGTGCTTATTTCAAGAGGACTGGCGATAACGATTTTGTTATATTGCTATTGTATGTGAATGACATGTTGGTTGTAGGACCAAACAAAGATCATATTGAAGAATTGAAGGCACAACTGGCTAGGGAATTTGAAATAAAGGACTTGGGATCAGCAAACAAGATTTTAGGAATGCAAATTCACCGAGACAGAAGTAATAGGAAGATTTAGCTTTCACAAAAGAATTACTTGAAAAGATCTTGTCACGATTCAACATGCAAGATTGTAAGCCAATTTCTATCCCTGTTCCTATTAACTTCAAATTATCATCCAGTATGAGTCCTAGCAGTGAAGAAGAGAGGATGGAGATGTCTCGAGTATCGTATGCATCAGCAGTGGGAAGTTTAATGTTCGCTATAATATGCACAAGACCAAACATTGCACAAGCAGTGGGAGTGGTTAGTCTGTACATGGAGAATCCAGGCAAAGAGCATTGGAATACAGTAAACAGGATCCTGAGATACATCAAAGGGACCTCAAATGTTGCATTATATTACGAAGGATCAAACTTACTTATAAATGGGTATGTCGATTCTGACTATGCAGGGGATTTAGATAAAAGCAAATCTACTACAGGGTATGCGTTCAAAGTTGCTGGTGGAGTTGTAAGCTGGGTTTCAAAATTGCAGTCAGTTGTGGCAACATCAACAACAGAGGCAGAATATGTAGCAGTTACACAAGCTAGTAAAGAAGCAATTTGGTTGAAGATGCTATTAGAGGAGCTTGGGCACAATCAAGAGAGTATGTCTCTCTGTTTTGTGATAGTCAAAGTGCCTTACATTTCATTCAATGACAAAGCACATACGAGTTCAGAACCATTTCATTCGTGAAAAGGTGGAAGAATGGACGATAGATATGCAGAATATTCATACCAAAGACAACATAACAGATTTCATGAAGAATGCGATCAACGCTGATAAATTTACTTTGAAAAAAGGAATGGTAGACATGAATTAGGTGTTGAATATTTTGAATGGAAAAATTAATTTTAGTCATTAGACTTTAGGGTATTTACAAGATTAGTCCTTAAGTTTTAATTATAAATACCCTAACTCATTTAGCTTCAAAACCATCCCAAAACATTCTAGCTTTCTTCCAATACTAGAGAATTTAGAGAGTTTCTTGAGAGTTATTTTCTTTTTTTTATCAAGAGAGAATTATCATTGTTTTCTCCTTGGTAGATCGAGAGAAGTTGTAATTCCTATTTTCTCATAGTGAAATTCTTCTACCGTTGCCCGTAATTTTTATCTTATATTATTTAGGGGTTTTCCACGTAAATTTTGTGTCTATTTTATCTTCATTTTTATTTTCTAAAATTATCAGTTGTGATTTTACTCTATTCGATAGCCGTCTTTCGTAACAGAAGAGTGTTTCGGTTTGGGGTCAACAAGGAATCGAGTGGCCCTTGAAAACTATTGAATGCATCGGCGTCGCCATCAGTGGCGGCCTTGTGCCATTCCTGTTTCAAGGTGACGACGCTCTCCACACTTGAGGGATTCATTTCAGGCTGAGATCGCGTCTGCGGGATATTTAGATCGGAGTAAAAGCTGGTGTAAAGAATTTGTTGAGGGGTAGTTACTTTGTTATGACGGGTGGAAGGTGTGACAATAGAAAATATAAAAGACCATGCCTCCTTCCAGCTGGCACAGCTGGCATCACTCACCGAAATAACTAGAGTTGATAGATTGAGTATAGTCACAAAATTTTTTTTAAGTTATTCGAATTGATAAGTCATATTTTACAACTCATATTTAACTTGAAAGTTTTTTAAGTTGAGTCGAATCGATTTTTCGAGTTTATGTTTAAATTTAATTATAAATATTTATAATATTATAAAATTATTTAATTATAATTTAAGTGATTTTCTATAATCATATACAATGTTTTTAAAATCGGATCGAACATTGAACCGGTGAAGGTACTGATTCACTGATTCAACCGGATTCAACCGCGGTTGAACCGGATTTTATATAAAATAATATTTTTTTAATTTTACATAATATTCAAAGCAATATTAATATATATGTAACACTTTTTTTAAGTTTACAATGTAAAAATTATAAATCAAAGTCATAACATATATAATTAAAAACCATAAAATCAAGTGAAACAAAATGATTCAAATCAACTACAACATAATATTTAAGGTAAAACATATTAAATAATAAATATAATTATATAATTATAATAAAAAATAAATTTGGGCTTAAAAAAATCATAACAAATGATGTCATTTGGTTTAATTTTTTTTTAAAAACAATCACACATGGCTAAGAAACATAGAAGAGCATCACAAAAATTTAAAGAGTAAAAATATGAGAATAAAACAATCCTACATAGCTAAGAAACATAGAAGAGCATCCCAACTTACTCCTATAAATAATAGAGGTAATTTGACATTCATAATCATGGAGCCTTTTGGTGAGCACATAGCGAACTATTCTTTCGCTTCAATTGAGCTCAAATTTTAGGCTTCAATCGAACTTCTAATTTTTTTTTAAATTCGAGCCTTTTCGAGTTCAAATTTTAATATTATATTTTGAGTTCGAGTAGAACTTGATAATTTTTAGCTCGTGAGTTTTTTAGTTGAGTTGAGCTTACTTTTAAAGTTTTTGAGTTCGAGTCGAGCTCAACAATACTCGAATTTGACTTGGCTCGTTGAACAAACGACGTCGTTTAGTTTAATTAAAAAAAAAAAGTGAACCGGCGGTTCAAACCGGTTTTTCCAGTTTTCAGCCGGTTCACCCAGATTTTACCGGTTTTCAGCCGATTCTACCGGTTTTCAGCCGGTTTTGTGCTCATCCGATTTTGGGGGTTAATCGGACCAGACAGGCCACTGGTTTACGGTTCAACCGATTGAATCGGCCGGTCCGGTCAAGTTTTAATAACATTGATCATATATACAATACAAATATATTTCTTTATTTTTTCATTCGTGATATAATATATCATACAAATCATCATCCAGTAATTACTAAAAAAATTGAGTTATTCGAGTTGTATTTTACAACTCGATTTGAATTTAAAAAAATTTCGTGTCAAATCAAGTTTCTAAAATTGTAACTCGAAATCAATTTGAGTCGATTTTTTTAAGCCAAATCGAATCAAATTTTAAAATTGAGTCTAATTTTACTCTCCACTAATAACACCATAACAAAATCTTCTGCCCCTGTATATGCCCCACCAATAGTTTCAATGCCATGTGTATTAATAAATATTATTTAACCATAAATATTAGTTTTCTTTCGGTTGCCCCTAAAGTCCCCCCGCGGCTAAATCCCATAACGGTTAAATAGGAAAAAACCCAAAAAATAATGAGCAATAAAGAAGAACAAGACAATGATGCAAGTGGCGATAGCAAGTGTGAGAGGAGACTTTAACACCGCATATAAGCCAGTGACGAAAGCCACCACCAACGCTACCTGTCCCAGCAAGCCAGAGTACACCATGAGCCTAAATGTTAACCATTTGTAAGTTGTTTCTGCTCCCTTTGCCTTAGCAATTGCGGAGAAAATAGTTGAAGCTCATAGCTAACAAGGCGGAGATCATGGCAACGCTATCTGCAATAACAAATGCTACGAAAGCCCGCTCATGACTCAGAGTTGCCGAGCCCCGGTCATGATCACCTTTATCACTCTTGTAACCACCGGGTAGGGCAAATGCTGCTGCGAATGCTGTGGTGGCGACGAGTGCTGACACCACTGCATGAACCTCTCTTGCTTTAACAGTTGACTCGTCGTCAAACTTATTCTGACGGACGGGATGAACCGATGAACCAGCTACTTCTCCATGGCCCACTTCTTTTAATAATTCTAAGATATGTTCCTACATCAAATTCCTTATCCTTTCAATAAACAATACGCATAAGCATTCATTTGTATACATAATATAAAACCAAGTAACCAACCAACTTAGATCCTAAAACGAACGAATATAGGATGCGTATAATATGATATAATCATATAGGTACCTTTTTCTTGGAATCCAAGTTCTCCGATCTAACCGTTTCTCTATCATCGTTAAAGATGAGTGCCATTTTAGAATTAAATTGGCGAGAAGCAGCCAACACCTGGAGAGGGGTGTTTCCACGGATGTCTTTTTCATGTAAAAATCTTCTAAAACGGTCAGCTCTTAGGAATCGGGGTAGAGTTACCCGAGGTAAAGAAACAACCGCAAAGTGAAGAAAGTTCCATCCTCTTTTGTCCACAATTTCGCAGCATTCTGGACAATAACTGATAATCTTCCACATTACCTGTAAATGGCCTTTCCTGGCTGCCATATGAAGGGCTGTCATTTCATCTTCATCAATTTCACAGGCCGCTGATTCATCGCATTCCAACAACAGCTCTACCATTCGAGTGCAACCCAAATGTGCAGCATAGTGGAGGGGAGTCCGTCCATTCTCATCTCTCGATTTTACCAAATTCTTTCCCTTCCTTAATATTACCCTTGTAGTTCGAGAAATCCATTCATCTGGCATGATAAATATATGTTATTGATATGAATAAGCTTCATATAAAAATAGGGTTTGTGTGGGAAAAATAGAAGAAAAAAAGAGAGAGTAAAGCATTAAAAATTTATATAAACAAAATTACTTTTAAGAGCCATAGCTGCAGCATGCAGAGCAGTTCTCCCACAGGGGCCTCGATGAATATGAACTGCCGCGTCGGATTTATCTAATACCAAAGCCACCAACTTATGATTTCCTCGCCTAGCTGCAATGTACAGTGGCGTCTTGGTCACTATTGACGCAAGATGAGGGTTGAGGGTCTGCTCGAAGCAATTCACGGACCACATCAACATGACCGTATCGAACTGCTTTGTGCAGGGCCGTATCCCCCTCGTTGTCCGTCAGTCTCACCATCTGCTTTTCCGGGTCGATACCATTCTCTAGGCCTTTCTCTTCGGCTTTTGCAGTTTCGATAAGAAGTTGAACTATGTTACCATGACCAAACCTGGCAGCGACGTGTAGTGGGATTTCACCTTTGGCATTGGGTTTCTTTAGTAGTGATGGGCACTTGTCAAGAATTTGTTGTACAAATTCGGTGGATATCTGATTAGCGGCTTTTTTTCTCTTTAAAAAAACGTAATACAAATGGAACACAGCCAATGGTTTTGAAAGTAAAAATTGGGGTGGCCAAATGAACATGGAGAAGAGTGTTTCGGTTTGGGGTCAACAAGGAATCGAGTGGCCCTTGGAAACTATTGAATGCTTCGGCGTCACCATCAGTGGCGGCCTTGTGCCATTTCTGTTTCAAGGTGACGACGCTCTCCACGCTTGAGGGTTCATTTGAGGATATTTCAAGACAAGTTTGGCAATAAAAGTTGGGAGTATTTTACTATTCATCATCACTGTGTTGTCCAACTTATATAGTTGAAGGACCAAAGAGCCATGCCATAAGTAATTCCTTCCTTGAGCTTCTTTAAAGGACTTATTCACTCTCTTTTCTTTAATAAATTTGAGATTCCTGCATTTTTTAAACACACAAGCAAATAATCTATGCCTACACCTTTGTTCTGTAGATAAAGGGCTTATATATAGGAGTGTGACACACGAGATTGCGAGGAAAAACACGTTTTTCTTCTCTTTTGGAAAATTACACTCAAGGTCACTTAACTATGGGTTCAACAACAAACAGATTGCTTTTCTTCTAAATGTTATAAACATATCACTCGATTAAGATATTATTATAAATAGATCATGGGTTGTCTAATCTGGAGTATATTAGAATAATGGTGTGAGTTGGTACAATAACAATTCAAAGTTGACAAAAGGGCACACAAAGTCTCTATACTTTCAAAAAAATCAATGTGGCCATCCAATTCCAAAAAAAAAATCTAAAGTGATCATTTGACCAACGTTTTTCGTCATTGACCAACGACTTCGTTAATTCATGCTGTTATAAATTAGGTAAATTATACAATTCATCACTCAACCATCATTTCTTTTCTACTTTTGTCACTAAATTCATCACTCAACTATATTCTCTATTCTATTTTTGTCACTAAATTCTAAAAGTTTTTACAATCAAAAGCCATGGAATATATGATGTTGAGTTAATATCCTAATTCATCAATTCTAAATAACAGAATAATATAAATGATGTTTAATATTAATTATCGGTTCAAAACGAGGAAATTGAGCAGCAAGTACCCGGAGGGATGGTAAGTTGAGAAATATAGAAGGCTTCTACATGTGCTACTCCGATGTATTCTCGTTTGCCTTCTACGTCTCTTCCTGGAGCTCGGATCGAACGTTTCGATTGTTTCTCGACTAAGATATTGAATGTCTCATAAGAAGGGTTCCATCTTTCAGTTTCCAACTAATCTTCAGACTAGGTGTTTTGGAACCTTGAGAATCTCCCTATTCGATGCCTTGTCCGACAACAATCCAGGAAGTAGATAGAAAGAACTAAGTAGGCTTGTCCGAAGTTGTAATCTTAACATGCCCGAGCACCACATGGCATTTGACCGGATTCGTGTTTCCAGGCTGATAAGGGAAACATACAACACATATTTCTGTCAATGTGTATCCGTTCATTACAATGGTGAGTTCTTCTATGTCCCATCCCAGAGCATTGTCCGTCTTTGTAAGTCGATGCGGCACGATCACGTCACTAAATTCGCTCGAGATTCAGTTCGTTCTCCGGGATGTAAGAAGCAGTCTTTTCTCCTTTCGCTTCAGAATTGAATGTAAGAGAAAGCCCAATTGAGAGTTACATTCTGATTTTACCTGACGCAAAGAATTACCAAACAATACCATTAGTGGTTACATTATGAAATATTTGGTCACGAAGTAAAACAATAAGAGAAGATAGGTTACAGAGTATGTGAAGTGAACCGGCAAGCCACCCATAATAAGTTGTCCCAAAAAAGAGTCTTGTCGAGAACATGGCATCAGCTTCGAGAGTCCCTCGAAAGGTAAGGTTTCCTCTGCAGCCGAACGATGCTTCCGTGAAACTACCACTATCTGAATTTCATGTGTATATGAACAATGGTTTCAAATGCATTTGAATTCATGTAAACTTACTCCACAAGTGAAATAACCAATTTTTGTCCCCCATACACATTCCCACGCCACCATCATCATCTACAGTGAACTAAACCGAACAAATCAGCCCCAAAAATATCATCTACAGTTCAAATGTACCCAAAACAGTGATTCAACCAACCAAAGTCAGAAAACCATGCTTGAATCCCGAAAACCTATCCTAATTAGAGAAGCCCATACCCTCTATAATTGTATTTTAGATTATTTATATTTATGCAGTACATGTTTATATTAATTTATTTGTCATTCTTTCTGTTATTGCATTTTGCCACTGGCTTATGGGTTAATAATGATTTAGATACCTATATCTTTACCATGTTTTATATTATAGTCATCAGGAGGCTTGTTTTTTTTGTTTGTTCTGATTTTGACATTCTGTTTTATCTTGTTTCAATTTGGTCACTATGTAAGCTATTCTGCTTGTTCTGAAATTGACTACCGATTTTATTCTTTTTCATTTTAGCCACTGATTGATTCTGTTTTTTATTTTTTGACTCTGATACTGTATTTTCGATTTATGCATTTTAGTCACTTGTGTATAAAGATTATTTATTTTATGTTATTTGTGTTATGGTATGTCATATTTGCATGTTTACATTTTAACCTATGTTAAAATATTTATGTACATATATCATGTTTCAAATGTATTTATGCATATACTAATTTATTTTTATTTTATTTCATGCACATGTTGTATCATATGTAATTATATACTTATTTATTAAGTTTAATTTTTTGTCTTTGTATATTCATGAATGAAAATGTATTATTAATGTTTATTATATTTTATTCAATGTGATTTATTTTAATTTATAAAATTTTCTATTTGCCAATATTTTTAATAACTTATTCGAAGATTGTTAAGAACTCGTATTTATAGAACGGGCGTAGAAAGTATCACTTGATCGAAGTGGTACAATCTAATACGATGTTTGAACTAAATGGAACTTGAAATAAATCAATTTTTAGTTTTTTAATTGTTAATTCATTTTTATTTTACACTGAACAATGCAAGTTATGTATTTTATTTTATTTTTCGCAACTGTCAAATTGATATTTATATTCGATATGCATCTTTTACATATTCGAGGACGAAATATTCTTTAACAATGAAAAATAGTTGAAATAGTTTTCCCAACGAAGGATTGTTAATTTCAAGATTTTTTATCAAGTTAAAGGATTTTCTTTAATTAATTAATTTTGAAGTAAATTAATTATATTTCAATAAATGAATCGTAATTTAACTTTATATTCTATTTATAATTTCTACCATTATAACAATGTGTAAGCGACACAGTACTAATTTTGGGCGATGTGGGGGTGCTAATCCTATCCCACGCGTAACCGACCCCCACCTAACCGACACCCGAACCCGTTTTAATCGAATCTTTGTAAGCGTATATCAGTTTTTTTTCTTAAAAACAATTTTTCTTAAAATTGTTTTTAAAAGACGTTTTTAGGTATTCGACCTACCTAACCCAAAGGTCGATGGAGACTCCCTTTTCATTTTAATTGAAATTAATCCAAAATCCTCAATTTTTCAAAATAAAAGTCATAACTGTTTTTAAAATAATGTTTAATTGTTTTTACGAAAAATGGCTATGACAGCTTGGCGACTCCGCTGAGGATGACTTTTAGAGAGTAAAGTTGTAGGTCACTTACACATTGTCGTTGTGGTCAAATTTATGATTTCGAGTCTTTAGTTAATCTATGATCTTTTTATTGAAGTTTTTAATTGCTTCATTTTTTTATTGTCATACTAACATTTTAATTTTTACTTTCAGTTCTATCCAAGTTTTTTTGAGAGTTTTTATTTGTTTGTTCATCTTTTGAGTTAAAGGTGTATACGCTTCTCCTCACACACATCACGTGCATCTGCATAACATGAGTTCTAGACATGAGCTTCGATCCAAATTAGTCAGGGTGATTGCTTTACTCTTGTAAGAATTTATTCTTCGTATGAGTTTTAGCAATTAACCCATGGGATACATACCTTATACCTTCGTAGGGATTTATTCCTCGTATGTGTATAAGGCAGTGAATCCCCTCGAATTGAACTTGTTTCGTTCGAAACCTGTAATGGGTGAGGATCGAGGGTCTGGCAGCCCAAGGGGACACCGACATTAAGGACAATTCGAGTTCCCTTTTCCAGTTAGAGCCGAAGCCATGCATATAGTGAACCGTAGAGCGGTCACCCTAGGTATAGATATACCAAACCTCTGTCATTCAGTAGGTACCCAAATTAAGTGTACACAAAGGAGGAACGTTTTTGAACCTTTCCTTTTTTTGCTTTAATTTCTGTTGAATAACAACATGCGAACTAGATATCATGCGGTTAGGACCAATTTCTTGAAAATAGATCATTATGGGTAGAAAGCATGTGTTCGGGTAGGATTGCTATCTATTGAAAGCATCTTCGGGTAGATATCATGACGGGGTAGGTGTTATATTCATCTCTGAATAACATTTTTATCTGTATTAATTATTTTATATGTACTAACTTGTTTTTCTCTTTTGTTTATGTACACTAACTTTTTTTTTGTATCATTTTTTCATCATTCTTTACATTGCATTGAATCGTCATAATATAATGCGAAAATGTTGATCATCAAGTTGATATTCGAGAGAAATTTTTACAAGAAGAGGTGAAAGTTTTCAATCAAGCAGTCACATACACAGACATGCGCCGAAGGCTAAAAGGAGTCTAGAGTGCAAGAACGAGAATTACTCGAAGATTGTGCAACATTCGAGACTGAAAGGAGGGTTTATTAAGCCGAAGAGTAATCCAGCAGTAGATTCTCATCTACAATTATTTCATCGCTATTTATCAAGGAGCGACGCACCGACTTTACCACCACAGGGGCATCAACCGAGTTAGGTTACAGAACGCTTGAGGGGCATCATTTTCGAGGAAAAAAATCATAGATGAAGTATTGATCCACTTCAGACTCAACATCTAAGCAAAGGCATGTCTGTAAAGTTGACTATCTTGTAATGTGAAAGCTTTTATCTCTGGTGAAAATTATTCTTAAATATCCAACGTTGGGATCAACATTTCTGCATTTGCATTTGCATCATTGCATTTTGCATAGCATTCATTTAAGCATTTTACATGCATATATCATATCTTGTGGGGAACTCTGCGGAAGTAGTTCTAACTGTGATACTGCATTTATACAGTACTGAGAATGGATGCAAAATTTGAGCAACTAAAGAAAGAATTTGAAGAGAATTTGCAAAAGATGCAAGCAGAGTGGGAAGCCGAAATGGAGCAAGAGAAAAAAAGGCCACTATGGATCGTATCTTGCAAAATCAAAGCAACCTAATGGATCAAATGGTAGAAAAAATTGACTGGGCTCAACCAAGAAAGAGGAAAATAGAAGATTTCCTCGACCAAAGAAGCCTCTGAATGTGTGATGGCACATGATAATTCACAACTACTCATTTCGTCCCATAAGCTTCCAAGTCAACAAATGAAAAGAGCCAACAATGAGATCCATGAGAACTTGAAAAAGTGGTGCAGAGAGACATTCAAGGGAACGAGAGGACATAGCTCTCACAATGAAATGGATGCAACATAACTAGTCTTAGTTCCCGACTTGGTGCTCCCACTTAAATTTAAGATGACCTATTTTGAGAAGTACAAAGGAACCAGTTACCCTAATGCTCATCTCACGATGTTTATTCGAATGATGATTGGATACACTAACAACGATCAAATGTTGATTCACTGCTTCCAAGATAGTTTGATTGGACATGCTTCTAAGTGGTATAATCAACTGATTCATGCTCATATTCGCTCTTGGAAAGATTTGGCTCGTGCATTTCTGGACCAATACAAATACATGACTGATATGGCCCCAGATCGAACAACACTTCAGAATATGGAGATGAGGAGTGATGAAAGCTTCCGAAAATACGCACAACGATGGAGGGATATTGCATCTCAAGTGCATCCACTGATGACTGAAAGAGAATTCATCACTCTATTTATTGACACATTGAAGTCTCCATATATCGACTACTTGATAGGAGCTGCCACCAAGAGTTTCTCTGATATCGTCATGTGTGGAGAAATGATAAAAAGAGCAGTCAAGAATGGCCAGATAGGTGGCACTAGCCATACCGACTATGAGTAAAAAGCTGATATTAACATCGTAGGATCTCATCTAGCTAGTCTGGGGACTAGGCCTCATAATGTCTTTCGTGAAAAGACTCGTATCAATCCAATCCCAATGACGTATGAGAAATTGCTCCAAACGCTAGTTGAGAAAAACCTTGTGACTCCGGTTCAATCTAAATGAAGAGAGGCCCCATATCCTAAAGGTCATGATATAAACGCCATATGCAACTATCACAATGGGAGCTCAGGGCACACCACTAAGAACTGTAGGGCATTAAAGTGCAAGGTCCAAGATCTGATCGATTCGGGGCATTACATCTATCATTTGCATCCATAGAGATTATTTTGTTTGAAATCGTTTTTGTTCTTTCTTTAATATTTGATTAAATATTTTTAATCTTTGATGACTGAATTTATGCTACCTTCTAAGTTTAAATAATTGAACGAGTTTTAATCTTGAGTTCTTTTAATATAAAATGAATTACGGATTCTTTTAATTCTTCAAGAATTATATATTTTTTATATATGACAAGATTATACCTTTCTTCTCATGTCCAACCCCAAAATAAAATCTCTCGATTCTTTACCC